AACAGGGAAGAAGACAACTGTAAACCAATGCAAACCAATAGAACCCAGAAAATCAAAGGAAAACACAGCGTGATGTTACAAGTAAAAACAGCGGTTGAGACCCCTACCTTCCGTGAATTAATAACTATTGAAATGGAGTGGCGAGTACATGGGGTTTCATCACGCTCATTTCTCAACTTTAAATCTGTTTGAAATTTTCTGTAATAAAAAAAATTTTTAAACAGATGCAAAAGAAAGATGTTAACATTTATTATGTCTTTATGCTTGATTGTAATACTTGATAATTAAAAGGAAGTTGATATAAAAAGAAGGCTTTCTAGCTGGAGAGGGTGACCGCACCCACCTTGAAATACGGGGCCTGTAACTCAGCCCACACCCAACCAATCAGGTAGTAAAGAGAGCTCAGTAAAATACCAATTAGGCTAAAAGCAGGAGGTAAAGAAATAATCAAATCATCTATCACCTGAGAGCACAGGGGAGGGACAATAATCAGGACATAACCCCAGGCATTTGAACCAGCAGTGGCAACCCCCTTTGGGTCCCCTCCTGTTGTAAGGGAGCTCTGTTTTCACTCTATTAAATCTTGCAACTGCAAAAGTAAATAAATAATAAGTAAGTAGGCCGGGCGCGGTGGCTCACGCCTGTAATCCTAGCACTTTGGGAGGCCGAGGCGGGCGGATCACGAGGTCAGGAGATCGAGACCATCCTGGCTAACACGGTGAAACCCCGTCTCTACTAAAAATGCAAAAAATTAGCCGGGCGAGGCGGCGGGCGCCTGTGGTCCCAGCTACTCGGGAGGCTGAGGCAGGTGAATGGCGTGAACCCGGAGGCGGAGCTTGCAGTGAGCCGAGATCGCGCCACTGCACTCCAGCCTGGGCAACAGAGCGAGACTCTGTCTCAAAAAAAAAAAAAGAAAAAAAATAAATATAAATAAATAAATAAAAGAAGGCTTTCCACTTATGATGGTGAAGGGAAAAGTAGATGGTGTTCTAATGTTATGTGTAGCACCTGCCATGTAGAGTCAGGGAATTCATTTTCTAGGTGAGGTTCCTGGCTAGCTCTAAGATTCTGTAATTCTATGAGGGATAAAGCTTTTTAGATGTGTTTCTCCCCATCGTGCCAGGAAAACCTGGCAGAAGCCATAGTTCCCTAATTAAATCAAAGTACCAATGTTACAGTTGAGTTAGATCTCCCTCCCTGACTCTCCACACACACTATTGGCTGGATATTGTACTGTTGAAATCCCCACGTTGATTCCAGTTTCAACTTAGCTGAATTGGATGTGGTCAGTAAAAGGTTGCACCATGAGCTAAAGTAGAAAGGTAAAGTGATTTAGGCTGCTCTTCCGTGCTTTGAAAGTCAGATTGACTCAACAGGAGTTTATACTTAAATACACTTTAAATTAGGTGCTCAGGATTTTATAAGCACCGTGGAAGAATCAAAAGAAATGTAAGATAGTTTTGCACTGAGAAACTTAGGCTGAGAGACCAACTCACATAAAATTATTAGTCATCCACCTGAGGCAGAATAGGATGAAACACTAAAAAGCACAGTTTAAGACAAGACCCAGGTCAGCCAGTAGATGGGGAAAGGAGAATGGCACAATGTAATGAGGAGGAGGTAGAAATGGGTTATGAAAGATGGATTGACCTGAGAGGGAGGAGTGGGAGGTGAGTAGAGTGTTGGGTACAAAACCTTGGGATAGTTGTTGTAAAGGAAAATGGAAGAAAGCTCATTAAAAGGAAGAAATGGAAAATGATAAGTAGAAGTGGTGATTACAGGTCCCAGTGAAACAGGAAATCAAGGTTCCAAACTAGAAGTGGAATGATGAGCTTTCAGGAAGGAGTTAAGAATCAGTTCTCCCAAGCCTGCAGGAAGAAAGAAAGGAAAGAAATAAGAGGTAATATATTTTATACTATTACACACTGAGGAAGAAAGTGTCTAGGGGAGCTCACACAAGATGGCCTTAACTATTGTCCATTACAAAGGCTCTGAGATCACCTCCTAAACATAGTGGGAAGAGAGAGTACAGGCTTGGGGAGAAAGGAGCCAGTCTAGATAGAGGTCAACCACGGAGTGCATACCAGATTATAGAGGACACATAAAGACAGACCCACTGAGAAGCAAGAAGGCCAGATCAAAACGAAACCTGTAGTCATCTTTTCTTCAACTTTGTTTATTGAACACCTGTCGTCATTCTTCCATTCCACAGACATTTAGTTATCACCCACTGTGTGTCCCATGCCAAGGCAAATCTACTTGCAAAGAATGCAGAGTCTATTAGAAGAGAGAGACATGTATGCAGTCAAGTCTAACCTTAGTGCATTCAGAGTAACGCCTGCTGTAATGAAGGTTCATCTAGATACAGTTGCTGGCGCATAGTAAACAGTGAATTCAAGGAAGACTTCACAGACCAAGCCCTAATAGAAGTGGACCTTGAGGAATGGGGAAAGAAGAAGAAAGGGTGGGGAAAGAAGAAGAAAGGGTGGGAAAAGACGGTCCGTGCAGAAGGAGTAAAAGTGTGTGAGAGAGCATGCCATATATGGGGAGGTTTTGAGTGACCTGTTTGGTAGAACGTGGGAGTTGGAGGAAGAATAGAGACAATACGGTATGTACCTAATGGATCTTACTGCCAACATTCTTAATGCAAAGAAACAGAATTGGCAGATATATGAATACATGTGGACGGAACAGTCTTTACCTACTTAAGTTAACACAAGGATGTAACATTGATCGCTCTTAAATTCTGCTTTATGTTCCTATAGTGAGTTTTAATATACTAAACTACCCTTGAGCATTGAGTGCTTGTAAGTATCAATACCATATTGAGAAACATAAATATGCTCATTTTGAATCAATTTTCGGTATCTGTTTCTATTTGGGGCTCATTTTGGAGAACTGATTTTGGAACACCTCACTTCCATATCATACAAAGTAGCTTGGAAGGAAACACTGCTCTCCTCTTGCTATAATTTCCTCCAACCAGAAGAAAGATCAGTTTTGTTATGTTTTTCTTAAGACAGGGTCTTACTTTGTTGCCCAGCCTGGAGTGCAGTGGTGCAAACACGGCTCACTGTAGCCTCCACCTCCCGGGCTCAAGTGATCCTCCTTCCTTAGTCTCCAGAGTAACTAGGACCACAGGTGCACACCACTAAGCTTGGCTAAGTACTTTTTGGTTTATTTTGTTTTTGTTTTTGTTTTTTAAGAGATAGGGTCTTGCCATGTTGCCTAGGCAGGCCTCAAACTTCTGGGCTCACACAATTCTCAGCCTCCCAAAGTGCTGGAACTACAGATATGTACCACCACCCTTGGCCAGTTTTACTTTTTGTCCTCACTAAACAGCAGATTTTTTCTACTTACTGAAATATATCTGTTTCTGAAATATTGTCACTTGTATGGGATTTTAAAAACAGATGCCTGTTAATTTCTATAATCAAAATAAGGAATTTAAACCTCTACAGGGCCTGTCTTGGCACTTTCTTAAGATTGAGAACATGGATTATACATCCTGGCCCTTTTCCAAAAACTGCCCTCGAGAAGTTATGCACAATTTATTTTTATGTTAGTCCCCGGGAATAGAAGTTGTCCAGGCCACTCCATCACACTCTTCATAATACTTGTAATTTAATGCCAGGCACTTCAGTTAACAACATGAGCAGAATTATGCTGTGGTAATTATGAAGGTGTGTGGCGAAGCAGCTGATAGTAAAATTTTAATCCACTCTAAATATGCATTGCACCCTTACTCAATTAGCCTCCGATTCTTTGTGGCCTTTTGGAAAATGTATTCAGTATGTAAAGTTTTTAGAAAAAGCATTCTGAAGTCTTCCTTTTCATTCAAGCCCTGTTTTATTTTTTTTTCCCCTTCCCAGCACATGACTTTTGTTATTCCAAGAATTGATACTGGAAAACCACATTTATTGGAAAGATAGAACAATGGTATCAGTTAATTCTGGAAAAACAGTAGATGTCACATCAGATGTGCCCTGGGGAGTAAGGTTATTCAGTTTGTATTTTTTCTGGTTCTAAATCTGCAGATATTATTTTCTTTTTCAGTTGAACCCTGGGTGGCCCCATCTAACACTTTCGGATTTCAGCTGACTTTTATTTCTATTGGATTTGAATGAAGAATCAGGAAATTCTATTGGGATTACATTATCTTATGGTTATGTTGAGATTACGAGAGACACCACTTATGCTACTACGTACATTTCGAAATGATGTTTTTAGGTTTTCTGTTCTTTGTGAGCCTCTTCGTGTGTCTCTTTCATGACTTGCATATGAGACAGTTGAGGAAGAAACAATCTATACGTCGTTTCTCAGTCTATACTTCCTTTGGCATTTATACAACGCTTAAATATACTGAAACATGATGTTTTTAAAAAAGTGTCCGGGGGCAGGAAGGAGGGGAAGAAATAGTAAGTAAGCATCAGTATATGCAGAGCACTGAGCCAGATGCTGGGGAGGTTACAAAATGAATTATAGGCTCTGCCCTGGAATAGAAGGTAACATTATGCAAAGAAGCAAACTCACAAGTTAGTAAGATCAGAACAGAAAGTGTTAAAATGCAGGTAAGTGAGGCTAGTCGGCACTACCAGGGGAAGTCACTGTGGCCTGAGTGTTTATGCTTTTGGAGGAAAAGAGACAGACCTCAACAGCTAGGGGTGCCCCCTACACACTGACAAAGCTTTGCCTGCCCCTGGGTGTGTGTCTGCTTTCAGTGGAGATACCAGTATCCACTGTGCCTTGTGGGTCATTATTTTCTGTTTGATAAGAAATTGTTTACTTTGGCAAAAACATGCTTATACACTTAACATGCCTGTCTTACCTCTTTTGTGGTAAATGAACCAAATTGCATTCTCATGTTTTCTGTTTGACAGTGACAGCTGTGCCAGATTCAATTCAGGCCTCTTGCACTTGTGAACACTGTGATTTTCATTTATCCTCAATATATCATTCTTAGAGAAGATCAGCCTTACCCATATTATTTCCTTTTTCAGACAAATGGACACCTACCTGGTAACGGAGATGTGTATCAAGAAAGGTTGGCACGTTTAGAAAATGATAAAGAATCCCTCGTTCTTCAGGCAAGTGATTTTTAAATACTGTTCTTTCCTTGCAGCATACTTACAAAGACTTTTAAATTGGGGTGGCAAATTCAGATTGCTTGCAGCAACCAGACTGCTAACAGAAATAAGCCTGGTAAACCACCTGTACACAATAGGGAGTGGTGAGGATTGGGGCAGAATGATGGTGTTTACGCCCAGTTTAAAAGGAGCCGCCATTAATCATCCTCAGCTCTTCCAGGGCCAGTCTGAATACAGGCACAATGTTGTCTGATCTGTTCTAAAATTCAGATATATGAATATAGCATAAAATCTGAATATACGTAAGTTTATATTTCTGAATCTGAAATCTGAGTATATATGTTTAATTTTTCAATTTTAAAAATAATACCCTGGGTGAGACAAAACAGTGAGTAGAATCCTCCCTGTGGGCTAAATTTGAGTTTGCTTCTTCATAATGTTTTAAATGCTTGACAAACATTTTTCTTTGGTATATTGAGCAAAATGAACTGAAGTATGTTTTTCTTTGGTATATTGAGCAAAATGAATTGAAGTATATTTACTGGGTGATGATTATTGAGGAAAATCTCGGAGATCGGCTCTAAGCACTAGAGTTGAAGGACTAGCCCAACAGCTCCTCATGGACCTTTGAGTATATTGAGCTGCCCCTTGGCTTTGAACATATCTGTGATCAGTGTCATCTTCAAAGAGCTCATGGAATTTGAATTCCCTGGGTTGCGTGTGTGTGTGTGTGTGTGTGTGTGTGTGTGTGTGTTTTGTTTGTTTGTTTGTTTTAAGATGGAGTCTCACTCTGTTGCCCAGGTGGGAGTGCAGTGCAATCTTGGCTCACTGCAACCTCCACCTCCTGAGTTCAGGCAATTCTTCTGCCTCAGCCTCCTGAGTAACTGGGATGACAGGCACATGCCCCCATGGCCAGCTAATTTTGTATTTTTAGTAGACACAGAGTTTCGCCATGTTGGCCAGACTGGTCTTAAACTCCTGACTTCAAGTGATCTGCCCACCTCGGCCTCCTGAAGTGCTGGGATTACAGGCGTGAGCCACCGTGCATGCTCCCCGCCCACCCCCCGGGGTCTTTTTCTTATTCTTCTTGAAGTATCAAATTTTAATAATTTCTTGATAATTTCTATTTCAAACATTAACTTTGTTTCCTCTCTTCTAATACTATCTCCACCCTGTCCCCCCAAAAAGATAACTTCTGTGCACGCTCGCTCTCATAAATGGTTGAAGTAGCTTTAACCAAAAAGTATTGTACATTCCTAATCTACACAAATTTTCTCCAAATTGTATAGGCCTCCTTAAATCAAATAGCAACATATAAAGAGGAATGCGAGGGACCACTGTCTTCTTGGTACTTCGCATATTTTTTTTCTTTAAAACCATATGAGTGGTAGGATCATTCCTTTTGTTGTTCCATTTAGAGAAATAATGTATTCAGTGGAACCCAAGTTCTTTTTCACTCATTGTATGATTTTGCTCTAAATACAGGTAAGTGTGTTGACAGACCAGGTGGAGGCTCAGGGAGAGAAGATTCGAGATTTGGAGTTTTGTCTTGAAGAGCACAGAGAGAAGTTGAATGCTACAGAAGAAATGCTGCAGCAGGTATGTGCAGAGGCCAGAACCAAGATGGGATTTCCCTGCTGAATTATTTCAGATGCTGCGTTTCTGTGCTGTGTTTGCTCTATGCAGCAGTAAGTGTCTTGATTCACTTAGACCAGCACATTTAAAAAAAACGAGAGTAGCAGAGTCTCAAAACACATGCACACAATAGAAAGTGTTTATGTAATTAGAATCTGGAACAAAATGTCAGTAGTATTGTGGCTTATTTTAATTTTCTTTTTTTGCATTCAGATGGTTTCCTCTCACCCATAAGTATATGTTTTACAATTAAGAAAAAATATAATAGTAAAAAAAACTAATAATCCAATTTAAAAATGGGCAAAATATTTGAATAGACATTTCTCAAAAGAAGACATGCAAATGGCAAACAGACATATGAAAAGGTGCTCAATGTCATTGATCATCAGAGAAATGCAAATCAAAACTACAAGCAGATACTATCTTACCCCAGCTAAAATGGCTTTTATCCAAAAAACAGGCAATAACAAACGCCGACAAAGATGTGGAGAAAAGAGAACCCTTGTACACTGTTGGTGGGAATGTAAATTCGTACAACTGCTATGGAGAACACTTCGGAGGTTCCTCAAAAAACTAAAAATAGAGACCGGGTGCCAGTGGCTCATGCCTGTAATCCCAGCACTTTGGGAGGCTGAGGCGGTTGGATCACGAGATCAGGAGATCGAGACTATCCTGGCTAACACAGTGAAACCCCGTCTCTACTAAAAATACAAAAAATTAGCCAGACGTGGTGGCAGACGCCTGTAGTCCCAGCTACTCAGGAGGCTGAGGCAGGAGAATGGCATGAACCCGGGAGGCGGAGCTTGTAGTGAGTTGAGATCACACCACTCCACTCCAGCCTGGGCAACAGAGTGAGACTCCATCTCAAAAAAAAAAAACAAACTAAAAATAGAGCTACCATATGATCCAGCAATGCCACTGCTGGATATATACCCAAAGGAAAGGAAATCAGTATATCGAAGAAATATCTGCGCTCTTGTGTTCTGCAGAACAGAGCTGCAGCTCTGTTCACAATCACCAAGATTTGGAAGCAACCTAAATGTCCATCAACACATGGCTGGATAAAGAAAATATGGTACTTATACACAATGGAGTACGATTCAGCCGTAAAAAAGAATGAGATTCAGTCATTTGCAACAACATGAATGGAACTGGAGGTCATTATGTGTAAAATAAGCCAAGCACAGAAAGACAAACATCTCGTGTTCTCACTTATTTGTGGGATCTAAAAATAAAACAATTGAACCCATGGAGATAGAGAGTAGAGGGATGGTTACAGAAGCTGGGTAGGGTAGTGGGGGATGAAGGGAGAGGTGGAGGATGGTGAAGGGGTACAAAATAATAGTTTCCATGAATAAGGCCTAGTATTTAGTAGCACGTCAGGGTTACTATAGTCAATAATAATTTAATTATATGTTTGAAATTAAGAATATAACTGGATCGTTTGTAACACAAAGGATAAATGCTTGAGAAGATGGAGACCCCATCTTCCATGATGTGATTATTACACATTGCAAGCCCGAATCAAAACATGTACCCCATGAATGTATATACCTACTGTGTACCCACAAAATTAGAAAAGAAAATATCTCTGTAAGGTCGTGGATGGAGTATGCACTTGAGCAAAACCTCCTAGGTTTCCATTCCTGCTGTGTCTTTATTTTTTCTTTTTCCCACTATGACATTAGGGAAGTTCCTAACCTCTCTGTACTATGTTTCCTCATGTTTTGATTAAGGATAATAAGAATTTTTACCTGATAAATTTTTTATGAGAATTGAAACAGTATTTGTTATAACTGGTGCCTGGCATATAGCAAACATAGTATCACCATAATCAATGTTATCATCACACTGAAGTGTATATGTGGTTTATGCATGTGTATCTACATAACATATGTCTCCCTCAGTAAACTGACATGTGCTTATTTCTGCTCAAAGGAGGGTAACTAAAGTGGATGGTTTTTTATTTTATTTTATTTTGTTTTATTTTTGAGACGGAATCTTGTTGCCCAGGCTGGAGTGCAATGGCGAGATCTCGGCTCACTGTAACCTCCGCCTCCTGGGTTCAAGTAATTCTCCTGCCTCAGCCTCTTGAGTAGCTGGGATTACAGGCACCCGTCACTATGCCCAGCAAATTTTTATATTTTTAGTAGAAACAGGGTTTCACCATACTGTCCAGGCTCATCTCAAACTCCTGACCTCAAGCGATCTGCCCGCCTCGGCCTCCCAAAATGCTGGGATTACAGGCGTGAGCCACCACGCCCAGCCTCAAGTGAATAATTTTTTAAAAGTGTGTATATTCAGTAATTATATTTTACCATATCCTCCGCTTAATAGGTGCTGCTTTGTGATCATAAATGAGGTAAATTCACATGTGGCTGTTTATAATAAAAGAATTATTGAATGTATCTCTTAAATTCCAATAGGAGCTTCTAAGTAGGACATCCTTAGAAACTCAGAAGTTGGATCTGATGGCTGAAATATCTAACTTGAAGTTGAAACTGACGGCTGTAGAGAAGGACAGATTGGATTATGAAGATAAGTTCAGAGACACAGAGGTGAGTGATACAGTCTCTCCTCTCTCTCTCTCTCTGTCACTCTGCCTCTGTCTCTCATACACGTACATTCCTAGGGCAAAGTTGAAATTCCCTGGAGGTGTGCAAGGCATTACTACGTGCCCTCATCCTGCTTCATTTTAAGAATAATCTTTCATTGCATTGACTTTTTATCACTAAATGCTAATGGCAATTTTTATTTTTAGCCTTTTGATATGAAATATTAATCCTTTTATTAACCTTTAGAAATACTTTTGACTTTAGGATATTTGGAGCATCCGTCCATCCATGCTGGTTTTCTTCATTTTGTGAATAATGGGCTTAAATGCATGGTTTCACTAGTAGTTGTTATTTAGGCACACTGATTATTTACTATGTAATTGGATTTTGAAAATCTGTAGAGAAAACATGCTAACATTCTATATTCACAAAATCACAGAGCTTTTTTGAGGTCTTTTAATTTGGCCTTCTACTTTTGATCTATTTCACATGTAAATCATTCCAATTAAATAAGACTCACTGTACTTCTACAAAACTCAGGGTACATTCTATAACTTGAAGTATCCATTTTAGTGGCTTAACAAGCTTTATTGTTTGTTCTATTTTATTAATTCAGGCCTTCTAGTTTATTTGCTGTGTGACATTTGGCAAGTTCTTAACCTCTCTGTTGGTTTTTTGGTGGAGAGAGAGAGCATATCTATTTGAAATATATTCATTTGAAATGAAGTGTAAAGAGTTGCAGAAATTCCTTTTCTCTGAGGGCCATCTCCCCTCCTTTTTTCTTCCTATTTTGTTTCCTTAGTTGGAGTATGGAAAGGTGTCATGCTGGATTAGAAAACAGGTACCAAGGAGAGAGGAGAGAATGGCTTACTTATTTTTCCCTTCTGTTTTTATTTCAAACATGTATTTCATGCTGACTATAAGCCAGCATGGTACCAGGCATTACATACATTATCCACTAGAGGAAAGTTCTTTATAGATTTGGAAATGCGTTTTACTCCACTGCTATTTTCAAAATTAAATTTTCTGTCAAAGATTCAATTATAGTGGAAAGTCTTGATATATGTCTTGCTTCCTCGATAGCAAAAGGAAATCTTTCATTTGGTTCATGTTTTAATTTTTCTTTTTCTTTCTTTTTTTTTTTTTTTAGAAATAGGATCTTACTGTGTTGCCCAGGCTAGTCTGGAACTCCTGGCCTCAAGCAATTCTCCCATTTTGGCCTCCCAAAGCACTGGGATTAGAGTCACGAGTCACCATGCCCAGCCATGTTTTAATCTTAAATCTCTTTGTCAGTCGCCTATATGAGCATGTTTCTCATTTGATCAAAACTGGGGCTTTTAAAACAAGATGTAGAAAGTCACCCAATTTAAAATTCTTGCTTTTGTGCTTTCTCTAAAAATCTGTTCTGATATTTTCCTCTTTCTCCTCTTTTTGTCAGGTCCTAACCCCATAGTCGCTAAGTAAGGTAATAGTAAAACTCAAGTCAACAGATGGACAACATGGCAGTGGAGCTAGCTCTGCTGCAGGGAAGAATTGGTGGTAGATGTGGATCGAGGTAGTCTTCTACATTGTGTCTGCAAAGTCAAGGGGAAATCTTCATCTGCTGTTAGCTTAATTTGGATATGAGATGTTAACCAAGTGTTGGGACTGAATTGCAGTAGATGTGTCATTTATTTTTGTAAGAGGCCAGGGCAATATTTATATCCCTTGAGTTTGGCTGCTTTTTTTAATCCAACTTTTTTTCCCCATTTTTTCATTGTTTCACTCATGCACTCTTAATCATATACAAAGAGATCTTGTCATCAAACTTCCAGTACACTCAATCCCTGATAATCTTCTAATAAAAATTCAGGGTTATTTCTAAAACGTATGCACATACCCGGAGATTAGAGCATATGTGGTAAATTTTGTGATGTTACATATGAAAATAATTAAAATAATCTTCACTATTAAACTAACTTGAATATTCTATCGTTGCCTTAATAAAAATATTTTCCTGGCTGTTCTATGCATCTATAATATTTAACTTTCTCTTAGAATTTTAGATTATTTGGATATTAATTTCCAAGAAAATATTGGCATGGGGAAGAAGTATAGGCATTTCCAAAGGACTGAGGGTAAAAGTCTTTAAACTTTGGAAGATTCAGAACTTGTCCCTGGACTTGCTAATGGGAAATGATTAGCATCTTTCGACAGTGCCCCCTTGTGGTAAGAGCATACATGTCAGAGACTGAGTTCCTGCGGGAGCCCTGAGGAGTTCTCTGAAAGGGAAAAGGGAAAGGGAACAGGGATTTTGTTTCTTAAAAGGACTGAACTTCTGATAAGAACTTGATTGAAATAATTTGTATTCTATTTTTTAAAGTTTTACATTAGGGAGCCGTTTGTAGATTTTCCAGCTTGTGTTGTCTGGGGAAGATATGATTTCAGGTTGGAAATGTAGACCATATTTAAAGTATTGCCATGAAATATAGTTGAGTAGTTTTTGTTAAAACAGATAAATTATCCCAGTTTACAATTCCATTTTTTTCAATGGTTTCTTCTTTGCACATTGGCACTATTTCTAAAGGAAGGGGTAAAATACAACAATAGCAGATAAGAATTCAATGCTATTTCTTAGCAATGAGAAAGTAGGAAAATATATATTTAAAAAGATCATATTGGTGAATATCACTAAGGACTCATATTATGCAAGGATGATTAGTTTAGATAACTGGGAAAAGCTTATTTTTTTCTTTAAACTTGAATTCTGACCTGTTAGATGAGGAATCACAAATATGTTATTGAATAATGTCAAACAGTTCTTGACCTAATTCATAAGAAGAAAATAGATATCATCTAAGTGAAATATTGTGCCATTATTAAGGAGTAATTGTATAACTATGATAGGTAATATTTTGCCCCATTTTATAAGAGACCACAATTTAAAAGCCTGTGGGTTTACTGGGAAGTGTATTTCATTATAGCATCCCTTCTCTTAGCCTTTGTGAACTTGAATCATTACACTTGGAAGTTTAAAATAATTTCTATTTACAAAGTTTTATTTCTTATAGTATTGTTCTATTTGTAATTTTTGGCATTTGTGGACAATTTTGTCCTGTAGTCTATGAATTTGTGAACCAGGAATACATGCATGTCTTTGTAAAAAGAGAAACTGGCCGGGCACAGTGACTCACGCCTGTAATCCCAACACTGAGGAAGTCCAAGGAAGGTGAATCACTTGAGATCAGGAGTTCAAGACCAGCCAGGTCAACATGGTGAAACCCCTGTCTCTACTAAAAATACAAAAATTAGCTGGGCGTGGTGGCAGGTGCCCATAATCCCATCTACTCGGGAGGCTGATGCCACCCTGGAGGTGGAGGTTGCAGTGAGCAAGATGGCCGCACTGCACTCCAGCCTGGGTGACAGAGCAAGACTCTGTCTTAAAAAAAAAAAAAAAAAGAGAGGGAGAGAGAAGCAAAAGTATAGTAACCATTGTAGGTATCTTTGTGGCTTTTAGTAAAAATAAGTCATCTCCCATGCAGGGTATTTGAGTGTCTCTTTTGGAGGAGTTAATATTGCTTAACACTCTAATTTCCTTTCCTACTCTCTGGGCTCTGGACAAAAATACACCACGATTTATCAGAATACCTGGACAAGTTTTATGAGCAAATTGGTTCTTTAAAAAGTGACACTAAATAAAATAAAAAATGGCAGTAGAAAAGGCGCAAAACTGTGTTGTGTCATGTAAACATTAGGATTGGTTTCTCTTTCATTTTCTAATTATAAAATTAGGTGAACTGCAGGGCCCTCATCCACTTTCCAGTTGAGAATTGTCATCAAACTTAACAGTAAACTCAATCCCTGATAAGCTTCTAATAAAAATTCAACACTATTGCTAAAACGTATGCACATACCCAGAGATTAGAGAATAGTTGAGAAACTTTGTGATGTTATATATGACAATAATTAAAATAGTCCGCAAAATTAAAACTGATTTGACTATTCTCATGTTCCTGTTATTCACTTCGTAAAAATAAAACATTTTCCTGGCTGTTTCATGAATCTTAAGGATTCATGGGCTTAAAGGATTTAATTTTCATTTCATTCTCCCATATTGGGTTGACGATCAATCCGTGTTTCTTCCGTGTGGACAAAGGAAGAAATTACAAATTGTTTTAATAACCAGGTATCATTGAAAAGGTTGAAAAGGTAAATGGCTTCACTAAAGAATGTGATATATTTAAAATATGAAATAGCATTCTATGAAATAGAATAGAAATAGCACTCTATGAAATAGCATTCATAGAGTCATTTTTAAGATAGAAATATCTGACAAATAATAAATATTAAGCTACATTTCTTAATCAAAATTATAGTCACCTTTTATTTTCATAAGCCCATCACTTTAAGGCAGAGGCATTGGGGATTTAAAGGAATGTTTTAAATGGAAAGATGCTTTCGTTCTTAAGGAGGTACATTTATTTCCATTTGTCTCATCTGATTCATACAACTAACCCTAGGAGCTGGTGACTTCTTAAGATTTCCAAGCTGCTATTTTATAGATGTAGGTAACTGTGTTACCACTTTCCTAATGCACTTTCTTGTTTCTTCTTGGACAGGGACTGATTCAGGAGATCAATGATTTGAGGTTAAAAGTCAGTGAAATGGACAGTGAGAGACTTCAGTATGAAAAAAAGCTTAAATCAACCAAAGTAAGTTTTTCTCGCGGGTTAACATTTTCAAACAAATGTCTCCACTATTCATCTATGCCCAATAATATAAATAATATGTTTTCTACTTAGTATATGATAAAGAAGGTATTTTAAAAGTAAATGAAGTTCCCCCCAAGCTGGAAACCTTCTTGAATTTAAACACCACTGATCTGAATTTAAAAACAAGGCTTAACTCTTCCGACAGAACATAACCTGCCCTTTCTCTGAGTTGTATCTAACCTCCTTTATAAACTGGTACTATTTTCTCGGTTATTTAGCTTGTCTTTTTCTATCTGTAGTTTTCTTTCATTCCTCTGTCTCTCTACCAGTCTTTAATGGCCAAACTTTCTAGCATGAAAATCAAGGTGGGTCAGATGCAGTATGAAAAGCAGCGGATGGAACAAAAATGGGAGTCACTGAAGGTGTAGTAGACGTTGGGTGATGGGGTCCATGGCCTGTTGCTTTCTGGCTTGTGTTGTTTTGCTGTGATGATGTTTTAGTGGCATGTGCATTCATTGTGTGTGTGTCACCTGTTGATTAAAATCACCTCAGGCTGATTGAAGGGAAAATGGGATCCCTGATGTTGTTTTCAGAAATACATGAAATAATTAGTGAAATATAATAAACAGGTAAAATGAAAGAATTTATAAATTAAACTCTCTTAGACTGAGACCCAAGCCTAGTAAAATAATTGTAAACATTCACCTGTGAAAGAATTCTGTTTCGTATCCACGGTAGAGGTCACTTTCCTCTTTAGGGACTTTCTTGATGGTAAATGTACAGCAGTTGACATTATCATGGCTACGAATAGAAATGACTGCTGAGAAGCAGCACAGTGAGAACAGGTTCACACTTCCTGCCAGTGCTACGGAAAATTTTTTGTACTTGTCCACTGTGCTCCTACCAGAAGTCAAAACTATAGGGCCAACTGCCTCGCCTCATTGGAGAACTACATCTTCTCATAGTACTAAATGTAATAAATATATCATTACAGATTCTGAAAGTAAAATGTGATTTTGAATATAAAGCTGTACGTCTTAGCATTGCATAGTTGTATTTTCTGTGTTAAATACAGCCAGCAAAATTTGCTTCCTAAAGCTTCTCTTTACTGAAAGGAAACTGAAAATTTAAACATTAGTACATAGAAGGATGGACTTGAAATCTTATACAGTTGTATACTTAAAAATTAAAAGAGGGCTTAAATATCTGTTTTCTAATTTAGTTTTTCCCATTGTTGTAGGAGATTCTGTCCTTTTATCTTAGCGATGAGGGTGAATTATTTAGTTTCATGATTTGGCTAAAGTTGTTGATGACTTGCTACTTTACCCATTAATGAAACTCTGTGCTTGTCAAGGAGGCATGAGTGCCAACTTGAAATGCCGAATAAATGTCAAGCTAGTCTTTTCCAATTTGCATTTTATTTTGCTTTTATGACACTAAGTATCTAATTTGATTATCTTCCTTGATTAACTTGGTTATATTTTTAATTTAATGTAAAGATTTAAACCTTAGGGCTATCCCATCCCTAATTACACTTTAAAAGATCTCTTTTTCATTTGATTACAAAGAAACTTATAATAATTATACCATAACTATTATAAACAGAACTTCTGCTAATAGTCTTGCTTTTTGCTTTTCATTGCCCTTGTCTGATTTCTGATGCTTGCATCTAAATTCTTATAGATTTCTTTCATTCATAAAATCTGATTATTGATTTAAAGAGCTAATGTGCTCTCTGAATGTTCTTTTTTAGTCATGATCTGCTATTTTTAAATGAATTTGTAACTTGTAGGATGAACTGGCATCTTTAAAAGAACAACTAGAAGAAAAGGAATCTGAAGTAAAAAGGCTACAAGAAAAATTGGTTTGCAAGATGAAAGGAGAAGGGGTTGAAATTGTTGATAGAGGTAAGAAGATATATTTCACATTTGTCATCTCATTTTTTTAAAGTCCTCCAAAATCTGTAAAAGAAACCAATGATAGTCAATGTGCAGTTTTAGCATCAAAGAAAGAGTAACAGAATCCAGCCGGGCCCAGAACCACAGGGAATTCTCCAAGACTCTTTACTGTGACTGGGAATCCATTAACTTCCTCTTCAGCACCTGGAAAAGGGGAATTCTGTACTTTATTTGGTGTTTAGGATTACTAGACTGTAAATTCTCATCACAAGAATGGACTTGTTTCCATTGCAATGCAAGGGAATGTATGCCAAAAGAGTTAAAAAGAACTACCCCTGTGTCCCAGGATTGTTGCCCTCAGAACTGAAATTAGATAAAGTAGGGGACTTAGAAACTGTTCTGCCCTTTAGACAGAAGAGAAAAATGGTTCTGTATCTTTGGAAAAATTAGTAACAAATTTATACCAGGGATTGAGCCCCTCTACCTTTTAGAGAAATAGGCTAATTCTGTTTTTGGAAAAATGCATGAATTTGTCCAAATCTTTTTTTTCGTAACTGAAGAGGTTCGTTCTGAGTATTATATGGACCATAATTTCTAACAAAGTAGGTTGTACGTGATAGAAAATAGCCCAAATGAAATATATTTTTAAAATTATATTTGGAAATATAATGTGCATAACATCTGGCAGCACTAGGTTAAATTTAAGCTTTCTTTGTAATTACGAATGATGACTGTGGCACTGTGAGATACCAAAGCAATTTCTGACTCATTCGAAACAGTACAAATTCCAGTTAATGTAGCTTTGTTACATTTTTATCCGTTATATGAAAATTAGTAACATTGTCTGTCCAATGAGGGACTTGAATTAGATTATCTGTAAAGTTCTTCTTAGCTCTAGAATACCATGGCCTTATATACCTGTAGGTATCCCAATTCCCTGTCCGTCAGAAAATTCATCAAACCTGAGGAAAATGGATTCTCACTGCCAACCGCTTCTCCGCCCCAGCCCATCACCTACTGTTTGGCATATATAGAATTGTGTATTGATAAGGGACATTCAGAAACAGGTCATACTGATCATACTTTTAGGGTTTTAAGAATAAAATGGGCTGGGCACAATGGCTCACACCTGTAATCCCAGTACTTTGGGAGGCCAAGGAAGGAGAGATTGCTTGAGGCGAGGAGTTCAAGACCAGCCTGGGTAACACAATGAGACTCTGTCTCGACAAAAAATTTTTTAAGATTTGAAATTTCTAAATTTCAAATTTCGCCAGGCATGGTGGCTCAATCCTGTAATCCCAGCTACTTGGGAGGCTGAGGAGAGAGGTTCACTGAAGGTCCAGGAGTTTGAGGCTATAGTGAGCTATGACTGTGTCACTGCACTTCAGCCTGGACAACAGAGCAAGATCCTGTCTCTGAAAAAAAAGAAAGATAAAGAATAAAATGGCATCACAGGACTTGTGGGCTAGAAGATATTAGAGTAATGCTACCCAAAGTCTGATCTGAGGACTCAAATCAACCTGGGAACTGTGTGTTACCAGTGCCCACCAGCTAAATACGGGGATTAAGAGCAAGTCTTTAGAAAGCTCACGTCAGGGTGATATTGGGATAGCTTCTAACTGCATCCTCAGTGGCCTCATCTTATTGGACAGGAGATAGACCCTTTCAGTGTTGTTGAACTTGAGTGGTGAGTTGCACGTGACACAAGCAGCGTTCTAGTCACATTCAGGAGGACCAGGTATCAAACTGTGATGGAAATATAAAAACAAAGTGACATTAACTAGGTTTTCATCATTTATGGTGTAAGAAGTGCTTGTACTCCATAAACCTAATTTTAATGTGAGAAAATCACGATCCAGAAAAATTAAGTAACAGAGGTAGTAACTCAAATTTAGGTCTCATATTCTCTTTCTAACCTCACACAGAGCATTATTATACTGCCAATCCTGCAGTCACAAAATAGTGCTGAAAAAGTTTTTATGAGGTTAGATTTCCTTTATTTTAGTTCAGAGGAGACTAAATAATAGTGATTTTAAAATATTATTTATTGTTGTAATGTTTGCTAACTTCCAATTCGATGGGTTTTCCTGCACAGATGAAAATTTTAAAAAGAAGCTCAAAGAAAAAAGTAAGGTTTGGTGCATTTCCATCAGCCTTTACATTCACCAAAAATACTACCTTGGACTGTTCTTTGCATGTGTTTTAAAACATTTCTCTCACCAAAGATGTAAAGTTGCTTCATCGATAAGCCCTCCATTTCTTCAGAGTGTACACAATAGAGGGTGGATAATAAAACAATAAGGTAAAAGATCATTTTGAAGATTTTGTCTGATTCAGCCTTTCTGCTCTACAGGGTACAACAGGGCACACAACATTGTGGATGTAAGAAAACATGTTCCTTGCAGTCTAGGTGATACAGGGTCAGAGGAGAAAATAACTCTTATAGTACGAAAACTCATGATTTTAAAGGTTTACCAGAGTTGAAAGATAATTTTGAAATTTGGTTTTGCTTTTCAATGTTTTAAAGTCCACTATTTGTCTGAGATCTATTAGAAGCTCCTTTGAACATGTTACATTGTTACAACAGAGATTGAATTCAGCTGATTAATGGAGCCTGAATATTTAATGCAACATTAAGATAAATCCTGCCAGACATGGTGGGAGGATCACTTTTGAGGCCATGGGTTCAAGACCAGCCTAGGCAACATAGTGAGATCCTGTCTCTACAAAAAAATTTAAAATTAGCTGAGCATAGTGGTGCATGCCTGTAGTCCCAGCTACTCAGGAGGCTGAGGTGGAAGGATCACTTGAGCCCCAGGCATCTAGGAGTTTGAGGCTGCAGTGAGCTATGATCTTGCCATTGTACCACATTCCGGGCAATAGTGAGACCCCATCTCTTAAAAAAAAAAAATTAACTCCTTAGGGACTCTTTCCCCCAGATGTTAAATTCTCAATTCCTATAGAATATATCTTAATTTAAAACGTTACACCAATGCAGAATGATGCACCACTGTTTTAAAAATTATCTTAAGAAGACTGGATGTGGTGGCTCACTCCTGTAATCCCAACTCCTCAAGAGGTTGAGGTGGGAGGATCACTGGAGCCCAGGAGTTCAAGGCTACAGTGAGCTGTGATTGTGCCATACACTCCATCTGAATGACAGGAAGACGCTGTCTCTAAAAAAAATATTGTCTTCAGTAATTTTTTTTTCTCTCAGAAGCAGGCAACTTTAGCTGATTTTTTTTTTCCTGTTTCGATTTTGTAGTTTGTGATTTCGCTTTGGAGTGACTTTTCATTTATTTATTTATTTGAGACAGGGTCTCGCTCTGTTGCCCAGGCTGATCTCAAACTCCTGAGCTCAAGCAATCCTCCCACCTTGGCCTCCCAAAGTGCTGGGATTACAGGCATGAGCCACTGCACCAGGCCCTGGAGTGACTTTTCATCTTTAAAATATTTAAGTGTTTTATTATTCAAGTAACATGCTTTTGTATTTGAATATCAAATTTTAAGGAGAATCACATTCAGCTTACTTTGGCCTTTATGTCTTGAAATCTATCTTAAAGTAGTATTGGAAATGAAGTTTATAGATGAAGCAAAGTACTTATTATCCTTATGTATGGAACTACAACCAGCTTCTTAGCATGACTACTCATGTAAATACTACATGCCATCAGGCTCCTACCATTCATGCCTCTATCTTGGGTATAACTATCATTTTCTCTGCTTTTGTCATTATATATACCATTCATGGCTTTCACGCACTGCTTTGTAGATTCCTTTTTTAAAAACATGTTTTTATTACTATAGCACTGAAATTTCATCTTCAGGGTTCTCATGAAGATTCTCTTGTTGCTTTAAGAGAGGATAGCTAGTTCTCACACACCCTTGTTTTCTTTCTAGAATGGCAACTGTTCAGGTGAGACAGAAGACGTCCATCTTTTCAGATTTTCCCTAAAAGAGAATACGGGTGTTAAATGTGCCCTTTTAAAAGAATACATGAAAGAAATCGTTAACATATTTACCTTAAAGTATTTCAGTCTGGAGAGTAAATAACTTCTGATCACTGTCACACGTGTGAGCTAAACTGACTTCTGATTTGGTGTTATTTTCAGACATCGAAGTACAAAAAATGAAGAAAGCTGTGGAGTCTTTGATGGCAGCAAATGAAGAAAAGGTATCCAGATGAAATTTAAACATATATGTGGATGTTTTTTAACACCGTTTTGACCATTCCATGCAATTTCATGAGCTATTCCATTTTAAAAGAACACGCCCAGAACACTGCTAGGAGTGAGGGGCAGGTGTGCACACTCCTAGGTGGGCTGTATGCACAGGAATAGGGAGGAGCTGCACTGGCTCCACTGAGAACTCCTGCCCCCATGAATTCAGAAAATGTTCAAACTCTCTGATCAGTTCCGCATATTCAGGTGACAGAGAGAGGATACATTCCATAGTAGATACTGTCTGTGGGCACTGAAAATTCTGGGCTGACCTGTGGGCCCTGAAGGAGCTAACTTGACAGCCTCACTCAGCTTCATGGTCATGTTGATTTTGTCCTCCATTTACTCATTATTTCCTTTACACTCCTGGCCTGTTTCACATCTGTGATTGTCTCTGCTCTCCTGAGAGATTAAATACCAGAAAACAGTGGCACAGTCTTTACTTCAGCTACTTTGGCTTCATTCCAAGGTTTCCACAGGTTTTTCCCCACCAGTTGGTTCTTGTTATCCACATCTGATGGTTTTCATCCTGCTAAGGGCAGGGATGCAGTTACCCCACGAAAACAATGGGTTTCTTCATGGCCTGCCTGACCATCCATGTATCTAGCTGGCAGCCGCAATTGTGTTCAGCTGATGTCATCAGAACTTCTCTCCCCTTATCTGCCTGAATGAATAGAACCAGGGAATATTTCCCCCAAAAAAGAGTAATTTCAAGGAAGTAAAAAACAACAGAATGTCAAAGAACTTTAGCTTGATCCTTTTCTCCCATTATAAGTTTCTTTCTCTCACTCTTGACTACTCTGTTTTTCTTATCTCCTTGTTTATTTTTGCCTTGCGTTCTCTTTATTTGCTCTTTATTGCCTGGAAATAAACTGATCATCATACCTACTCATACAGGTTCCTTTTTTGCTAATGTTTCCCACTATTGAATAAAAAGACAAGGAATTAGCAAGCTGCCCACCGTAACTTTTATTTTTAAAAAAATCACTGAAATTAATTTTGTTTTCATTTCTGTCCCTCAACAAGCAACAGCAAACAAAACTCCCAATGTTGAATGAGGACTTATGAGATGCTCAAACCTTTATAGGAGCACCCAGAGTAACATAACTTCCTCATGGGGTCGGGGGTTCAGAAGACTTCAAAGAGGACATATTTGAGCAAATTCTGGGGAAAAGCAAGAATTGTTCATTGGGAAAATAAAGGCTTCTTAAGCAAAGGGCCCATGAGTCAAAACTTGTCTTGAGACCAGGTATGAAACAGCACAGTGCATGCTGGGATTGAGCAGTGCAGGTGAAGGAGGGGGCGTGGGGCCGACCACAGAGCTCAGTTAGGGGGCAGGCCGCTTCACGCACCATGCTCTTGATTTAAGGTCTTAGCGTGTAAACCTTAGGCAGTGACATGATTAAATTGCCATTTCAGAAAGCTAACTCTGGTAGCAGAATGGGAGAGTGACGACAGGTCAACAGTTAAAAGTTTGTTAAAATAGGTGAGAAATGAAGAGGGCTTGAAGTAACGCAATAGCAGTGAAGTGGTAAGGTGGGAAGAGGTTTTAGAGAAATTTACGAGTTGACAAGATTTAAGGTCTCTGGATTTGAAAAACGAGAGTAAGTTTCTGGTTTGGGCAACTGGGTGAGTGGATGGTGCTCTTAAGGAGTTAAGGAAATCCAAGCACAGGCTCAAGTACTGAAGGGAAAGAATGAGCTTAATTGTAGATCTAGTCTATCCAATATGCTTATGGGACATTCTTAAGGAGATTTCTTACAGAAAGTTGGAACATGAATCTAAATGTTAGGATTAATGTAGAAACATAGATTGATGGGGAGTGAGGCCCTTCAATTTTAGGAGAAATGTAGAGTTGTAGTTTGGTGTAGACTAAGCCACAGTTGATGTGTCAGGTAGCTTTTGCTTTGTGACAGACCACATTTAGTATTTCTCGTACTTCTGTGAGTTGGCTAGATGATTCTTCTGATCTCGGCTGGCTTAGCTGACGTCTGCAGTCAGCTGGTGGCTTAGATGAGACTGCATGCGTAATTTAGGATAGTGTCATTCACGTGTCCGGTGATTGACAGCTTGGTTTAGGTTGGCCACAGCTGGGAGGACTAGCCTCTTCCCCAGATGGTCTCCCATCCTCCAGTAGACTAGGCTAGGTTTCTTCACATAGCTCCTCAGGGTTCCTTAGAGCCACACCACAGGGCAGCCACAAAGGGCAAATGCTTTTCAAGCCTTTGCTTGAATTACAGTTGCTGATATCTCTTTGGCCAAAGCCAGCCACATGGCCAGGCCCGGAATGAGAATGGGAGGAGCTAGGGAGGCCATTTTCATAGCACAGTTGAGCACATGGGAAAAGCAAAGAGGGTCACGGACAGAACCTGGAAGCTCTAGCATTTTATTAGTCCGAGAAGATAATGGGAGTCATGGAAGTTTGGCAGCTATCTGGTCAAAGGATTGATAAACAAAAATGGAAGAAAAGAAAGAGTGGATGGATAAGTGAGAGGAGAAGGAAAGAGTGAGGTCAGTCAAATGCCATATAGAGGTCAAATTAGAAAAAGGTTGGGGCTGGTCATGGTGGCTCATGCCTGTAATCCCAGCGCTTCAGGAGGCCAAGGTGGACAGATTACTTGAGCCCAGGATTTCAAGAGCAGTCTGGGTGACATGGTGAAACCCCATCTCTACAAAAATACAAAAATGAGCTGGTCATAGTGCTGCATGCATGTACTCCCAGCAACTCAGGAGGTTGAGGTGGGAGGATGACTTGAGCCCAGGAGATTGAGGCTGCAGTGAGCCAAGATTGCACCAGTACACTGCAGCCTGGGTAACAGAGCGAGACCCTGTCTCAAAAAAAAAAAAAAAGAATGAAAAGTGTTCATTGTTTTTAATAGATAGGAGGTCACCTTGGTAGAGTGTTTTGAGAGTGGAGAAGCCAGATGGTGATTAATGATGGCTAAGAAAGACAGAAGATGGGGGCCTTTCTTTCAAGGTTTGATTTATAAGTTAGAGAGGAGAGTAATTGAAGCTGACTTTTTAATTTTTTTTGTTTTGCGTCTTATTACCTTGTTTTGTTTTTGTTTGTTTAAAGATGGCAGCTAAAGGATAGAATCTCTAAATTTAGAGGTACTTTTTCCATATCTTTAATGTATGTAGGAAACATAGTGTAGTTATTACCAGTTCTCCTAAAGCTTAGAAATATTCTTTAAATAATGTAAATAATTCACATCTGCTTATTCTTTTTTTAAAATACTCTCTCGGCAGAATCATGCATATTCTTTATGTAAAAGCGATTACTGTTACTCTTTTAAGAACATAGGATTAAAGATTATAATTTATTTTATTCCTAGGATCGAAAAATAGAAGATCTTCGACAGTGCCTGAACAGGTACAAGAAAATGCAAGATACTGTGGTACTGGCCCAAGGTAAAAAAGGTAGAGTGTAGCTCGAAAAGTTTTTCTACTTTGGTTGACTCTAGGTGGCTATAAACTTACACATTTGGCCTCAGTTTCTTTCCTGGATCATACCCATCATCCCAAATTAGGTAGCTCATTCATTAATTGAACAATTAGAACTGTACTCTGCCGGAAAGCATCCAGCCTGAGGAGTCAGTGTACTGTAGAGTCGTTGGTCAGGAAGTGCCTCTCTAAGGAGTTGATGAGATAGCATTCCAGAGAGAGAAAACGACAGCATATGCAGAGAGCCTAGGGGGAAAAGAATGTGGCATGCTTAAGAGGGAGAACACCAGTGCAGCTGCAAGGTGGTGGGCAGTGGGGAGAGGGGATGAAATGAGACCATGATGATGAGCAACCACTGGTCATGCAATGGGTGGAGTTAAGCTCATGCTCAAGTGCAGAGGAACTCACTGAAGGGTTTTAAAAGTCAGCAGGGGCCAGGCATGGTGGCTTACGCCTGTAATCCCAGCACTTTGGGAGGCCAAGGCGGATGAATCACCTGAGGCCAGGAGTTCGAGACAAGCCTGACCAACATGGTGATACCCCGTCTCTACTAAATACAAAAAAATTAGCTGGGCGTGGGGGCAAGTGCCTGTAATCCCAGCTACTCAGGACGCTGAGGCAGGAGAATCGCCTGAACCCGGGAGGTGGAGGTTGCAGTGAGCCGAGATTGCACCATTGCACTCTAGCCTGGGTGACAGAGTGAGACTCCGTCTCAAAAAAAAAAAAAGGTCAGCAGCATGATCTTTGTAACACGTGGGCCATGGAGGGAAGTGAGCAGTATTGGGAGCAGCGGAAACCAATTCTGAGATTTGCAGTATTCCAAGTGAAAAAATCTGGTAGTTGCTGATTGGGAATATGTTATGGTAGATTGACCCAGTGGTGTAGTAAGATAGAGGAGAAGAGTGAATAAGAGAGGAGAGATCAAGAAAGACCTTTCCAACTAAAGCAGCTGGGTAGCTGATGGTTCCATTTACTGATATGGGGAAGCCTAGAGAAGGAACACTGGGCTGGGTAAGGAGGATTGAGTTCAGCTTTGAACATGGTAAGTTCAGAAAAACCCTGTAAAACAGGTACATAAAGATAGTTGTGCATTTTGTTGTATTCGTTATTATTTTATCTGCAGATGGGCCAATTGGCCATCCTCAAATGTGGAGGAAATCTGAAAGGGCTCTTGTTTTTTAGCAATGCATAGATAGAGTTATTTGCTCTCAACGTAAGCACTGGAAATAAACAATTCTTTTGGAAGGTCCCCATGAAACACTCAGATTTTGAAATTTTAATTTTGGTGAGTTCACAGAGAAGGAAAATCCTGCTTTGGATCAGGATTTTTGAAAAAAAAAAAATTATATGCAGGGTCTGGCATATTAGATTTTATAAATATCTGAGTGAGCAAATGAACCTCTGATAATCAGTGTTGACTAGCAGTTCTCATCACTCAGCATTTTCCATGCCTTCAGAAAAAGAGTCTCTATCCTATGGAATATTGCAAATTTGTAAGTGGTTTTTACATATGCATCTCATTTAAAATATTGTTTAATTTTATAGAGTTTCAACTGTCCAATTCTTATGTTTAAAACCAAGGCAGAAAAAATTAATTCCTTTAATTAGACTATATTGTAAAACTTTTGGAAAATAAAGAAAAGAGATAAAAATCACTCATAATTGCACTGGCATGATCACTATTGGCATTTTTTTTATTGTTTCTTTCTAGCTTTTTTTTCCTGTGCATACAAACATGTAAATAAAAGAGGTAGTTTTTAACGAGGTACAGCAGCACAGATTTCATAAACCCTTGAAAACTATGTTCTGTTCCAATAAAGGGTTGTATAAACTGATTTCTCACTAGGAGTTATATTTAGTTAATCCTCACACAATTCTAATAACACTAAATTCTAATAAAATTAGAATAACATTCTAGTGAAACCTAAATTAAGAAGCTGTAGTCTGATTAAGATCTTTAAACAAGTATATGATTTACCATTTCATATTATTTGTAGATTAGAGTCTTAAGTATCATTTTTTTTCTGTTTTTAAAAAAGAATATCTGGCACTGTGCTTTCACCATTTAATCCTTTTGATTTCTAGAGATGCAAAAAAAAAATTATCAAGGTTGCAGCTTTGGTGAATATGTGGTTGCTTTTTTCCATCAGACTTTTTTTGCTTTAAAATGGCATAAAAGGATCCTCTTGAGAGATCAAAGGTCGTCTGTCTTTTTGGTTTTTCTATTCTTTCTATGTTTTTTCAAGAGCACAGCAGTGATGAAAACTAAGTTGTTTAAATGGGACTTTGTTGCTATTCGGAATTTGTTTTTTGTACCAGGTATTATTCAGTTTGATTATTTCTACACCAAAATTTGTAAGCCCCAGATTTTAAAACAAAATTACAAGAGAGTTGTTGGAAAAAGTTAACTTTTAATTTTCTTTCCCTCTGATGAGTCAATGTATCAAGTACGACTTTGTCTATTAATATCATAGGTACCCACTGTGGCCCAAGAGCCCCTGGCCCTAGTTGTTCACAGTTTCAAATGCTGTTTCCTAGGTCCTATGTTGTTTTTCAAGAGATGCCAGGAGAAGCTGACTCTGATTTTTGAGGATCAGAAAAAATTTTATGTTCAATATAATTGGGTTTCTTATCTTCCTGTAAAAGTGAAATATAAATCAAAAACTGCTGTTGTCTTCTCTTTGCTTTGTCTTTTCCCAGGCAAAGATGGAGAATATGAAGATCTGCTCAATTCCAGTTCCATCTCCACTTTGCTGGATGCACAGGGTTTCAGTGATCTGGAGAAAAGTCCATCACCCACTCCAGTAATGGGATCTCCCAGTCGTGACCCATTTAACACAAGTGTTCCTGAAGAGGTATTAATAGACTTTTGATATTTCCTTCATGTTGAAGAGACTGCGTTATTGACAGTTAAAACACTGCTCATAACGTGAAAAACATGGGTTCCTTTCTCAGTTCCATTACCAACTCAAGTGAGGTTATATAAATAAATTGACTTTGGCCACTTCTGATGGTGACTCTGAAAGATAATTGAATAAAATTTTCTTCTGACTTCTTTAGACTTGGAAGAAGCAACTGGAGAGGAGTAAGCAGTTATACACTCCTTAGTTTGCATCAAACTGGCATGAAAATCTGTTTGCTATCTATTGTACACCACACCGAAAGTTTGTGGCTTCAATGACAGCATTTCTTTTGCTGATGACTCTGTACTTCAGCAGGGTTCAGCATGAGCATCTCGTCTCTGCTCCACTTGGCATCAGCTGGAGTGGCGTGAAGGCCTGGGCCTGAGTCATCTGAAGGCTAACTCACTCATATGTCTGGTGGTTGAGGCTGGCTTTTGGCGGGGACCTCAGCTGAGGCCCCATTTAGAACAACTACCTGTGACTGCTTGGGCTTCCTCACAATCCTAAGGGTGAGCATTCCAGGAGGCCCGGGCAACTCTGCATCTCCTGTTATGATTTATCTCAGAAATCACATGGCATCTCTTCTGCTGTAGCCACAGGCCTACAGCCCACCCTGATTCAAGGAGAGGAAACACAGACCCTACCCTACCTCTGGATGAACAAGTGACAACATTACATTGTTAGGACATATGGGATGGGATATATTGGTGCAACCATATTTGGAAAATATAATCTACCCTCTGGCTATACCACTTTACATCCCTCTCCCATGCAAAAGACACTCGCCCCCTTTCCGAAGACCCCTGAGTCTCATTCCAGTGAGGCGTCAACATCCCAGGATCTTGTCATCCAGACCAGGTTGAGATGTGGGTGAAGCTCCTCAGGTACAGTTCCTTGCGCACAGCTCCTTGGGGACTGTTCCATTGACTTAAAGAGCTGTGGACTTCAAGGACAGTTATCTGCCCTCCACACACCCATACAATAGTTGGACAGGCATAATGTAACTGCAGTAGCCACTCCCATTAAAAAAGGGGAGCGGGAAGGCTCACAGGTGTCACCAGTCCATAGCAATTCCAAAATCCGGCCAGGCACGCGTTGCCAATCCTCTGGGCTATTGGCTCTTCCCTCGAAGTCATCCTTCCTTTGCCTGTATTTGCAGATGAGTAGTTTTCTCAGTTTTGTGCCTGCAAAAATGCCCAAAGATCTCCAAATTCATCTCTTCATTTTCCATTATCTCTGTCCTTTTGAGTCTAATTTGGTGTAATACTTTAAACATTTAGAATTTCATATGAATCATGTTATAATTCACTGAATTAGAGAAGAACACATCCACAGCTATCTTCACCATAAGCCTGTCTCTGTAGCTAAGGTTCCCTGTAAGGCTGCAGTGGGACATCCCATTGCTTTTAGAGCCTTAGATCATTTTTCAAAGGTTCAATGAGACAGTACTACTCTAATCTTCCTAAGGTTTTTTTTTTCTATTTTTATTTGATTCTAGTCTAGTCCATCCTGAGGTCTTAGCAAAGGGTTTTACAGCCACATCCTTGGCTCACCTGAAGACCATGTTCTCCTGATAGCCCTTGTGCTTGATCTTTGCCCTGAAACTGTTTCTTAATTTTAGTGTAATTTTTTTCGTCTAGAGAGACCGGGAATGGGAAATAGTTTCATTGTCTAAACAATCTTGGCTTCCTTATTTTAGCAGTTCCTGTTTTGGTCATTTCTCTTCTCACATTTTACCATAGGTAGTGAGAAGAAACCAAGTGGCATTTTTACTTTTTATCTGTTGCTGATAATTACACAATGAGAAGATGAAATTTGAACTGAATGAAAATGAATTCAAGGAGAAGACAATGAAAATTTCTCTCTTAAATGTAGGAGAGGGCTGAAATATTTCATTAATCAAGGAATTAGTTAAGGAATAAGAAATACTTTGGTGGAAAATATCCCCTAATTGTTAGATATATATTTATATTGAAAGCAAAAATAATATTTGACAGCCCATGAGTATGCTGCAATTATAGAACTAGTGTTACATGTAGGGTACACCAAAATAATCTCACGTCCTTTTAGAAAAAGTCTTTGCTATGTGAATTGTAGTTTAATTACCGGTTTTAAGTTTGTAACAAGAATAGTTTGATGAGGATTGAGGGAGTTCAGCCACATTTTTAAAGAAAAGCCAGGAGGGGGATCTGAGTTTGGAATTAAAGTCTAAAAGTTTGAAAAAGATCAAGAAAATGGGTCTGTTAGTTTAGTTATATTTTCCTCATGATTAGGAATCTCAAGAGACAAATGAACTTCAGGAAACAGCGATGATGGCTAAATAAGTTGCCCAGAATTCACCATAAAGATTCAAACTGAAAAAGTTGATAGTGAAATAATCTCCTACTTTATAAATAATATGATTTCACATTTTATAACCTTTTATTGCGTTAAAGGATGAGCCCACCACTGAATAACAGAAACAAAAATCACAAAGCTGAATTTATTGCTTACTTAAGTGAGTGAGTGTTCCCAGTCAATTACATTCTCTTCTAGCTGATCATATGTGGGTTTTGGGATGGTTGGAGCTCAAGGATTGGTGGACTTTCTGAGGCAAGTGTGAGTCGACGTCCACTGTAGATGTGTGATTACTAAGGTGAGACTGTTGCTGACTGGTTGGCGTGTAGAAGTGTGTTCAGTGGTGTGAGTCCTTACCAGGCAGCTTTCAGAAGTGAAGAACTGTCACTGGTTGACTGGTAGGAGTTCATTGTGACAAACTTTGTTCATTTTTTTTTTTTTTACTGAAATATTTTTCGTTCATTCATTTATGACATGGCCCACAATCTAACTGCTCTACGGTTGTAAAAAATTATTGAAAACCGAAGTATTAAAATTATTTCACAGGCTCTTTCCTTAGGATACACAAAGCATTTGTTTGAGAAAATGTGTTATGCATTTTATTTGTTGCTGTAATATTATTATTATCATTAAGCAAAGTGTTTTAAGTGGTAGCCACAAAGTCCATTGTAATTGGTTTTAATTACACTTTTCATCAATTATGTTAATTGAAATTAGTCAACTAGTTCGCACATAGAATAATAATTAACTGGCTTGACCAATGTTCCATGTAAGATTAGTAGTAGAAATCAAAGTAAAAATGGAGCTTTTCACTGGACACAGTGGCTCATGCCTGTAATCCCAGCACTTTGGGAGGCTGAGGCAGGAGGACTGCATGAGCACAGAGTTCCAGATTAACCTGGGCAACATAGGGAAACCCTGTTTCTACAAAAAAATTTTAAACATCAGCAAGCTGTGGTGGCGCATGCCTGTGGTCCCAACTACTTGATGGGGCTAAGGTGGGAGGATCACTTGAGCCCAGAGGTTCGAGGCTGCAGTGAGCCGTGATCGCAGCACCGTACTTTAGCCTGGATGACAAAGTGAGACCATTTTGAGACCAAAAAATAATAGTAATAATAGAGTGTTGAAAGCAAAACATGTTACCCAAATCTTACGTTAAATCGTCACAACCTGCAGGGTAGGCATTGTCATTCTTATTTTACAGAGGGCGAAACTAATGGATGCCTCGCAAAGTGATTTGCTAAGATCACAGATCACTTAGGCAAGTGTGTCAGAGCCAACATTTCAGCCAGGGCTTAAGGTTGTTAGGATTTACTATTACTAGCTGGGTACGGTGGCACACATCTATAATCTCAGCTACTCAGGAGGCTATGGCAGGAGACTGCTTGCTGCTTGAGCCCAGGAGTTCGAGACCATTCTGGGCAACATAGCAAGACACCATCTCAAAAAAAGAATAAAACATTACTGTTAACTTGCTTAATGGTATACCATCTTTTTCACAATATTCAGTGTCTTATTCAGAACCAAGTTAAAAAATTTCCTTCCTCCAGAATGATTTCCTTGATTAGTACTTCTTCTGTGTAGATGTTTATATTCTGAAATCATTTTATAGAGTTCTGAACAATGATTATGAGATTTTTGTCAATAGACCATTTAATTGTCTTTTGTTTAATTACTCTGTGGCTTGTGTTTTGTTTTGATTGGTTGATTGATTGATTGACTTCTGACTTTTTATGATTACATTACAGTTCCATACCACCATCTTGCAAGTTTCCATCCCTTCATTATTGCCGGCAACTATAAGCATGGAAACTTCTGAAAAATCAAAGTTGACTCCTAAGCCAGAGACTTCATTTGAAGAAAAGTATGTCATTTATTAACAGTGCAATATAAATGTTCAAAATAGTAGATCAACCAAAGACACAGATGTATTGCATTTATTTACAGACACAATTTTTACCTAGAAAAGCAAGAAACAGCAAGACGTCCATTGGGGGATCTGTAATCAGTTCTGTATTATGGAAATAAAAAGTGTGAAGCAGGAAGCGATAAGAGATGAGGCTGCGGAGGTAGGGTGGTCAGGTTTGAAAGAGATTTTGAGGAACTTGGCTGGGTGTGGTGGCTCACGCCTATAATCTCAACACTTTGGGAGGCCAAGGCAGGCAGATCACTTGAGGCCAGGAGTTTGAGACCAGCCTGGCCAGCATGGCGAAATCCCATCTCTACTGAAAATACAAAAATTAGCTGAGTGTGGTGGTGCACGCCTGTAATCCCAGCTACTCGGAGGCTGAGGCACAAGAATCACATAAACCCAGGAAGCAGAGGCTGAAGTGAGCTGAGATCACGTCACTGTACTCCAGCCTGGGTGACAGAGCGAGACTGTGTCTCAAAAAGAAAAAAAAGAAAAAACAGTTTAAGGAACTTGGATTTTTATGTCCTAGGTCATAGGTAACTGTGAAAGGATTGTAAACTAAATAGTCACAGTCATGTGCTGTGAGTGCATTTGAAGGATGGGTCTGAAGGGGACAGGAAAAAGGATACAGTAGTTTGTCTGTAAGCAAATAGAATGTTTTGCCAACATATTCCCAAATTGCCTCGTCTTATTTTAGGCCAAATAGAACATTTAAAAAAAAATAGAAATAGCTTCCTTTGCACAATTTTTTGTTGTTTACATATCTGTTCACTTAGAACATATATGGTCTTTTATTCGTGAGGTTAATAAATACCTTTTGTTCTTTACATTTTAGTGATGGAAAGATAATCCTTGGTGCCACTGTTGATACCCAACTGTGTGATAATCTTGCGTAAGTTACATTTTATTCAATGTGAAAATGTGATTGAGGCTAGAGGAGGAAGAGAGTTCTGTTATACTAACAATTACTAATACTAACAGCAAATGACTGAGGCTGTTCAATTACTGAATAAATTAATGCAGCTATCATAATTGGGTTGGGGTGAAGGTGGGGAGCTGTAAGTTTACAAAGAAATAATTTCTCATTTGCTATTATCTCACGCTGGGGTTTTGCAGGTCTTTAGCCTTGCTTAATCAGTTTTCATTTGAAGTTCAATGCTTTTAATTCATTTTTGCACTGACATGTTTTGAGTCCAGTGGGAAGGCGTCACAGGGAATGATGTGATGCTGGAAAAGCTGAGATGGGTTTTTTTGCACTTTCAGTTTTATGAACTGACCTAATATCTATGTTTATCCAAGTTAAAGTCTGGATTAAATTAGGAAAGTCTATTTTCAGAGCAGTACTCAAAAATGAGATCTTTTCTTTTCTCACTATTACTTTACTTGGTAGTTGATACTTCTGGCAATGTATACATATAAATACAGAAGAAATGCCTTTTAAAAGTTTGTAAATGTGCGTATTTATATTACTCTGTTTCATAGAGCCAAATACATTACTTCTCTGTCACTCTCTCTAAACTGGTCACATATCTCTACCTTCAATTTTTTAGTAACACCAGCTCTATATAATTGAATACTACTTATGTGAAAGAAAGAGTCTCTGGATGTTTATAGTGTCTCTTTCCCTTCACTAGGATAGCAAATGAATTATTATGGGCAGCATTAGGGATTCCTCTACTATGCTTTAATTAGAACTATAAAATGAATTGCTTTGCCAGGCTCAGAAAAGTGATTCCCTCGTGAATTGAAAAGTAAAACTTCCATTCTTTATTTTAATTAGAAGGATTAGATATAAATAGTATATGAGTATTTTTAAAGTTCCTAGTTTAAATGTGTACATGCAGAGGACGCACCACTAGTCCACAGAAAACACTGCTTTATTTTTGAATATAGACATCACAAGGCTAGTCCTAAGTGCTTTTCCAGCTCTTCTAACATGTGTAGGGCAGTCAGAATTATTGGCAGGACAGTTAATCACCCCTGCTTTTAAAAGAACTAAATGTTGTCATTTAGTTAAGCACATAAGTGACTGCCTGATTCCAGATTTTCTTTTATTACTAGGATTCAACCCACATGCAATTTTAGTTTCTTTCCAAGATGTTTTACCTAGAAACAGTAGCACTGGAGCCACTTATTATTAATTGTTATTGCTGTTATTTTTAGAACTTCAAGTCTGCAAAAGTCCAGCAGCCTGGGCAATCTGAAGAAAGAGACATCTGACGGGGTGGGTTCTGTGTTTTTTGTCTGTTATCCTGAGAAAAAACTGTTTAGGGATCTTCATCTTTTCCCTTTTTGCAAATAAAACTCTCATGAAGAGCTTGTGGTTTTTAGTGGAAAATTATTAGATATTAGGTTTAACAGTAAATATTAGGAAGTATGAATATGAAGGATTGAAAATAGTATGTAAAACCAAAAATGGAGACTTTAATAAAACATTTTGGAAAATAAATGATACTAAGATTTTGTAGCTTAGAAGTAGATATAAAATTATTTTAACTTATGGAGTTGTATGTGACAAATTCAGAATTATACAAAGGATTTCCCTAACAACCTTAAATATTGTTATTGCTTTGCTTTGAACAGGAAAAGGAATCTATTCAGAAGACATCAGAGGTAACTTTTTGTCCAAATTACAATGCAAAAATATTGCTACTTCCATTACCTGTAAATTGCTTAAATGTCTCCAGTGGATAAAAACTTTCAGAACCTCTAAAACATTATGCCAAATGAAGCCAGACACAAAGTTCACATATTATATGATTCCATTTATGTGAAATATCCAGAACAGATAAAGCTATAGAAATAGAATGCAGATCGGTGTTTACCAGTGGTGAGAGGAGGGAAGAATGGGGAGAAGCTGTTCAAGGGTAAGGGGTTTTGCTTTCAAATGATGGAAATGTTTTGGAACCGGGTAGAGGTGGTGGTTGCACAACATCGTAACATACTAAATGCCACTGAATTGTGCGCTTTAAAATTGTTAGTTTTGTTATGAATTTCACTTGAATAAGTTATTAAGAAACAAAATGTTCCTAAGAACAAAAATGTTCTTAATGACCATAACTGAGCTTCCTTAGACCTCCCCAAAAGTCCTTCTTAGATTACCATCTAAAGTAAACATTTTGGTATGTTTAAAGATGTCATCAGCATGTGCTCAATTCTTCTTTCCCCGATTTTTTTTTTTTTTTTTTTTTTTTGAGATTGTATCACTTTGTCAGCCAGGCTGAAGTGCAATGATGCAATTATAACTCACTGTAGCCTCAATTTCCTGTGCTTAGGTGATCCTCCCACCTCAGCCTTTCAAGTAGCTGGGATTGCAGGCATGCACCACTATACTGGGCTGTTTTTTTTTTTTTTTTTTTTTAAAGTACAGATGAGATCTTGTTATGTTGCCCGGGCTGATCTTGAACTCCTGAGCTCAAGTAATCCGCCCACCTCTGCCTTTCAAAGTACTGGGATTACAGGCATGAGCCACTGTGCCTGTTCTGTCCTCTGATTTTCTGTCATTAACCTTGCAAAGATTACAGCTTGATAGGCTACTTCCAGATCCAGTCTCTTGACTGTTGGCTCTTAGTGCCAGAGTTATATATGGACAGAACTGACAAAGCAGCTAGTGGCAACAGCTATAATTAAAATCCTTTTTGTCTTTTCAGTTCAATAAGTGGTTAAATGATTTTGATGTCATTGTTGAGCCATGGATAATAATACCACTAAATGGTGCCATCTATAAACTTTTGGTTTCTGTGAGCTATAGATATATAGAGTAAAATAACCTAAAATACCTATATCCCCTCACCCTTCTCTCTGCTTCTGCAAAAAAAGAAGCAGAGGGCAAGAATTATTTCTACTTCTGCAAAAAAAAAAAAAAAAAAAACAAAAAAAAACAGAGGGCAAGAATTATTAAAGAAATGAGAACAAGAAGACAAAAGCATCTTTGTATAAAGTGTCAAGAATATACAGTGGGGAAAGGACACCCACTTCAGTAAGTGGTGCTGGGAAAATTAGATATCCATATGTAGAAGAATGAAAGTGGACTCCCCCTGTCACCAAATCAACAAAAATCAACTCAAGATGGATTAAGAACTTACATATAAGGCCAGAAACTATAAGACTGCTAGATGAAAACAGGGAAGCATAGGCCAGGCGCGGTGGCTCAAGCCTGTAATCCCAGCACTTTGGGAGGCCGAGACGGGCGGATCACGAGGTCAGGAGATCGAGACCATCCTGGCTAACACGGTGAAACCCCGTCTCTACTAAAAATACAAGAAAACTAGCCGGGCGAGGTGGCGGGCGCCTGTAGTCCCAGCTACTCGGGAGGCTGAGGCAGGAGAATAGCGTGAACCCGGGGGGGCGGAGCTTGCAGTGAGCCGAGATCGTGCCACTGCACTCCAGCCTGGGGCACAGAGCAAGAAAAAAAAAAAAAAAAGAAAAAAAAGAAAACAGGGAAGCACTTCAGGACATTGGTCTAGGCAAAGCATCTTTGTATAAATACTACAACAATATAACATGCTGTGTTACAGCCAGCTCTAATTGCCAATTCAAAGAACCAAAAAGCTCAAAATAAAGTTGCTCGCTGTGCCTTCATTTTATTATTCTTTGAGGAGAATATTTAAAATAACTGGAGTAGAGTCTCCTTATACTGCTGGTGTAGAAGTTTGGACTAATGCCTGCTTTGTAAAATAATTAATATGATATTGGGCTTCTATTGGCATAGTTATAATATAAGAATATGAACTGTATTATAGCTAAATCCATGTCATAGTTGTTGGAAAAGTCAGAAATCTGCTGCCATTATTCTGGTTATGTAATGCCTCCATGTCTTTTGAGGAATGAGGCAAACAAAATTTAAGAACTTTTGTAGCCTAAATATTTAAAGCCCTAAACAGATTGATCCTAGATTAGTGATGAACATGTTTTCCTTGTTGCTTTTGTTGTTGTTTCTTAAGTAGCTTTCAGAATTGATTTTTTTTTCAACTTCTGATAAGGCATTTGACGTTGGCGATCGATGTGCTAGTTCAGTTTTTCTTTTGAATAAAGTCATGGATGTGGCGTGAGTGAGTATTTGCTGTTAGCCTGGCATGTGCTAAGGATGCTGCGCCTGAACGCTGTTTCACTATTCTTATCTGCCTCTCAGGACAGAGCTCCGGCAGAAAGCAGGCCATTTGGGACCCTTCCTCCCAGACCCCCAGGGCAGGACACCTCCGTGGACGACAACCCCTTCGGCACTCGAAAAGTCAGATCTTCCTTTGGCCGGGGCTTTTTTAGAATCAAAAGTAACAAGAGAACAGCAAGTGCACCAAACTTGGGTATGTACGGCCAAAACGCCTTTGCCCTGATTCTTCCACAAGGAGGAAAAGAGCAGCGTCTTCCCTTCCCTTATTCCCTCATTCACTGATTCCTTTCTCTTTCTCAGAAACGAAGGTGAATGACTTAGGGGGGATTTAGCAAAAAATGCCTCAGTGGATTTAATTTAGTGTTGTGAAGATATATAGACTCTCACCCTGCTCTCTCCTGTGGTATAAACTTAGTGGAAAGACTTAAAATCATGATTCCCTTTGACTTCATCATGGAGTTTCCCATCTGTTGTGACAGTGGATAAATTAACATTGACATTGAGCCTGTGTGTAACATCGGAAGCACGGTGTGCCGCGTGCCTCTCCTCCATGGTGTGTATTTGGTGAGGAGGAGTCTGATCTGTGTTTCATTTTGTCATCTCTGTGTTCTCTCCATTGGGCTGCGTGTGATTGTGTGCGTTGTTGGGATATCTGAAGATCGTAAACGAAGTGCCAGTGCACCCACCTTAGGTATTGTACCCCTGCATGCCAGCCTTCACCAGCACTGTGCTCCAAACCAATCTAATCCCTGCTCTTGGCATCTGTGATCTCTAGAAAGCGATCTGGCAGCAATCAGAAAATGTAGTTCTCTATTCCAGAGTGTTCTTTCCACCTTCTGCGGAAAAGGACGCTGTAGAGGCTTTGCTTCCAAGCCTAAACGCTGTTTTAACCAATGCTAGTAACACTCACTGTGTGAATAGCTTCGAGAGGACCTAGACGTGTGCAGCATTCCTTAGAGTGCAGGGCAGGAATGTCCTGGCATTGTACATTGCAGCTCTTTCAGCCTTGAAGTGCATATTACCACACACTAACTCCCAGGTCCTTGCAGTCCATTCTCCATGCTTACATTTCTCCCAGCCTCCAAAAAGAAATTTTTTTAGCCATATAAGGAAGTTTATAGAAGACTTGGAATATTATAGTTTTAGGCTTACTTCTCTTAGGGGAACATTCTTCTGACGTTTTATTACTTTGAAGATGGAGATAATATTTAGTGATGACAGAAGCAACTTTACTTGATATCTGAGGCGTTACCCCACCAAGTGATTTTAGAAAAGAGGCAGTTTAGTTTTCCTCTTTGTAAGGCAGGGCACAAACTGGGGGGAAAAGCTCTCAAAATAAAAAAGAGAAATATGGTAGCTTTAAGATGAGAATAAGCTAGGCAGCATTTTCAGGGGCACCTGTACCCATCATGGTTGAAGGATTTGAATTGGGAAAGTTCCTTTGGGTTTTTCCAAAAGGTGCTGTTACCTTGTATAGATATCTACCTATCTATTCACGTGGACCAGCAAACAGGACTTCTCTCTCTATAGAGACAAATGTCTAGAATGAACACTGGATGCATAAAATAAACTGATCTATTCAGACAACTATTTTCAAATAGTTTTTTTTTTTTTTGCATCTTTCTTAGAAGAACTGTTTTGTTAATGCTAAGAGGTAAATGCTGCTTATTATAACCTATAATCACAGCTCTGCTTTGTAGAAAAATCAACTTTCTGCAACTTGTAGATCTTGCTGAAACACTGTTCCTGTGATTTTAGTACAACTTTTACTTTCCTTTATAAAGTATAAAATCTCACTAGTTTTATACTTAGTATGGGATTGTTCACTAAGGGACAGCTAAAAGAACTGAAATAGTTAATGCTTGGATATCTGAGACTGGCAACTGTGGATGTGCTTCTTTTAAGGTAAAATCAACAGGCACTTATTTTATGTCAAAAGAAAAATTATGCATATCCAGTTCACTCTTCTCTCAGTGCCTAGGATTTAATAGATTGGAATACATTTCATAAATAAAGAATTGCTGGAACTGGGTAACTGATTTGATATAAATGCCAAAGGAGAAGGAGTAAAAGGAAAATGACAGAGTTTGAGCTACAGTAACAGGAACAGTATTAGTTAATATTAACCAAATAACAAATAAGAACATTTAAGAGAGGAGGCCAGGCGAGGTGGCTCACGCCCTTAATCCCAGCACTTTAGGAGGCCGAAGTGGGTCGATCACCAGGTCAGGAGTTCAAGACCAGCCTGGCCAAGATGGTGAAACCCCGTCTCTACTAAAAATACAAAAATTAGCCGGGAGTGGTGGCGGGTGCCTGTAATCCCAGTTACCTGGGACACTGAGGCAGAGAATTGCTTGAACCCAGTAGGCGGAGGTTGCAGTAAGCCGAGATCGCACCACTGCACTCCAGCCTGGGCAACAGAGCAAGACTCTGTCTCAAAAAAAAAAAAAAAAAAAAATTTGAGAGAGGAGAAGACTCTCGGGGAAATTGGATGAGTTTGTGAAGTCCCAGATATCCCGACACACTGAATTGGGAATATCACAGGCATTTAGATACAGGACCTGGAGAGAGAGATTGGGCCCAGAGATTTTGATCCGCTAGAGGGCGCTTAGAACAGAATCTTAAAGTGGCATGGGGGAAGAAAAAAAAGCAGGAGTGCTACAGCAAAGACACTATCAGATGGCAGATGTAGGAGTGGTCATGTCAAGAAGCCAGAGGAGATGATTTTGAAGGATGTAGGAGGTAATCAACAGTACCACGTGCTATGGAAAGATTGGGAATAATTCCATCATGAATTCAAATCACTCAAGGAAAGAATGTGGCAATCCTATCACCCTCTTTTAATCTCCAAAGGGCTTGTAATTTTATTAACTTTAAACACAGTAAACTATGGAGCAGAACATATATGTGTGTTCCATTTCTAATATTTACAAAGTGCTCTTTGTAGATTACTGATTTATAGACCAACAGAAGAATTCTTAATAGTTCTAGAACCAAGAAGATTAACATCTTATCATGTTCATTCCATATTTTAAAATTCGTTGTCTGTATTCTGCTCTTGGAGTAGCTGAAACAGAAAAAGAGACAGCAGAGCACCTAGATCTGGCTGGTGCTTCTTCTCGGCCAAAAGATTCACAGAGGAACAGTCCCTTCCAGATACCACCTCCATCTCCAGATTCCAAAAAGAAATCCAGAGGTATCATGAAACTCTTTGGAAAGTAAGTAAAGCAGTGAACAAGTAGAGTGGGCCCTGTCTTACATGTTGCTTAAAGTGGCTGGAAATGGGTATGGACTTGTAAGGCCTTTGTATTCCTCTTATGGAAGGAAGTTTGGATTATGATGTGGGATTTATTAACTCATTGGGTCTTAGTTAAAGTTTAAATTTAAATGTCTATGTTAATGACACAAAGAGGATTAGTTCCAGTAGCTGCACTAGTTAAAAATTCTCTGATTAACAAGCCTAAGGCCTCCTCAGGTCTAATACTGGCTATGTGTGTTATGTCTTCTTCAGACTTAGGAGAAGTCAATCAACTACATTCAACCCAGATGACATGCCTGAGCCTGAATTCAAAAGAGGAGGGACAAGGGCAACCGCGGGACCCCGACTGGGTTGGTCTCGAGACTTGGGACAGTCTAACAAGTAAGAAGAGCCAACTGATAGACTTTTGCATCTCTGCCAAGCATCATAGCCTCATGAGTCCTGCAGTGTTAGTACTGTCATTGGGTTAAACAAAGTCATTGCTTAATGCTGTGCCTAGTGAAAGGGGACATCATCTTTAGAGCAGTGCAATTTGTCAATGGTTGATGAACATACAGAAGGTGAGGGCTGTGTGAACTAGGGGAGAGGCCAGAGCTAAAGTGTCAGCAGCATCTCTGTTAGAATGGCTCTCAGACTTAAATTTTACATAGACGGTAATTATAAGTACTCTAAAGCATAGCTTTGGAAAGATGGGATATTTACATGAGAGTATGTTCTAGATCAGACCACTTGGATTTGCTTTCTGGCCTTACCACTTTCTACCAGCTGGGTGACCTTGAGCAACAGCTTCCAGGCCCTGTGTCTCAGTTTTCTCATCATCAGAATTAGTGCCTACTCCAAAAGCTGATCGTGAAGATTAAATAAGTTAATATGTGTTAAATATTTGGCAGATAGTAACTACTCAAGAAACATTAGTATATAACAGAATCTATGAAAGTACTTAAAGACAAAAATTCTATCAGAATCCGTATATTTATCAGGACTATATAATATTTTATTCATTAAGATTCTAAGAACTGCTCCGACACTCTTACCAAAGTTGAGGGCTGGCTTAGAACTACTACATTGACTCACTGTGCATAAAAGGGTGGGGTTGGCAAACATAAAGTACAAGGCATTGATACCAAATATTTTAACAACCAAATATTTTAACAGTATAATAGACTAGAAACCCTTTAAATACAGCCCCTCCCATACAGGTGGAACACTGGACATAGGTTACATCAAGGAGGAAACCCTCTTTGGCCTTCTTCAAATACCAGTTTCATTTGCCATATGTTGTCTTTGAACACAGTAGAGCTCCTTGTGCTATTTAAAAAAAGCACATTCATCTCCCCCTCCGCACACTGTCCCCACCCCGGAACAAGAACACTATTTGTGTATCTAAGTAAAAGAAAACAGGAATTTTGCTTTGATTGTTTCCTACACTTAGTGACAACATATTGCCCTCTTCTCATTGGTTACCATATGGAAATAAACCATAATTCTGCTAAAGTTAGTTCAAATTAGACTTAAGTTTCTTTCACTCCAACTGAGTTTCCTGTTTGGGAATCCAGTCTTCAAACAACATTGGTTGAAACTGATACAGTGACTTATGTTTTTCCAATTTAGTCTTTTTCTGTAGAACTTGTTCTTGCTCTGTCACATTAAATCTTTTGTGGTTTCATTTGAAATGAGACAGTGGTCTTAGAAGATAACTTTCAACTCCAGTACCAGTTGTTCCTCCAATGTATACTAAAAATTAAGCTTTTCGTGGTCAAATGTGTATCACCAGGGAATGTCCATGTCTATTGAATGTATAGTTGTTTAAAACTCATGATAAGCCACAGGATTGGCTTTGGATTATTTTTCATACAATTACTCATTTTCCTGTAGTGACTTGGATATGCCATTTGCCAAGTGGACCAAGGAGCAGGTTTGCAATTGGCTGATGGAACAGGGCTTGGGCTCCTACCTGAATTCTGGCAAGCACTGGATTGCATCTGGCCAAACGCTTTTGCAGGCTTCTCAACAAGATCTAGAGAAGGTGACTGCTTCTCTATTTTGTTCACACAATGGATACTGAGAAGAAGACAATGTAGGGTTGTTTTATAGTCCAGAAAGGGCCATGAGTGAAGCCAGTAAATACTCTCTAAATAAAAATTTGGGTTTTCAGTTGCTTCATGCTTATTTTTTTCTGATGGTCTTGGGAGGACCTGGTCTTGATGATTCCTTATGGAACACTTAAGCCATTGGGCATTTTAATGAAAAATAATTGCATAAGCATAATTAAGTTCATATTTCTCGAAATCATTATATGGCTTTATCATTGGCCTATTTTCTCAGTGTAATATATGCAATGCACTTTGCAAAAGGAAAAAAAGCACCCTACAATTTATGTCTAATAATTTAACATTTCTTCCCAATTATTTAATATTTTGCACAAAATAAGAGTCAAATTCTTTTTATGCATGCTACAGTTCCTAGCTTACAAAGAAAAGGAGTCACTAGGGAATGCCTAACACGCCCCTAAGCTAATTGTGGTGGTCTTGGCTTTTCAGGGACCTTCGCTCAACAGCACTTTACTAGCGCAAGTTAGGATTGTAATTTAGTATTGAATTGGGTCTTTAGTGCTAGCTTCATTTTGGAGAAATTTGCATCCTTTGCCAGTGGCACCCAGCCTATATAGATAGAATTATAAAGTCAATGTTTATTGTTTCAGGAACTTGGAATCAAGCATTCACTTCATCGAAAGAAACTCCAGCTGGCACTCCAAGCCCTGGGATCTGAAGAAGAAACCAATCACGGGAAGCTGGATTTCAACTGGGTCACTAGTAAGAAGTTTTTATTCTAACAAAATGAAAGAATTATATACATAGCTGCTTTTTCTTTTTAATCACAAGAACAGGTGTTTTGTGGCACGGTAGCAACACTAGCCTCTCTCTTTTAGGATGGTTGGATGACATTGGCCTCCCTCAATATAAGACCCAGTTTGATGAAGGCCGGGTTGATGGTCGAATGCTACATTACATGACTGTTGTAAGTGACTCACTCCTGGGGTTTGGGGGAGGAAATCTTTTTTCTCGAAAAACGCAGAAATTGAGTAAGCCAAACACAGTGTAGTGGTTACACCAGAGTTTGAAGCTGTTGCTTGAACTTGAGGAGAGTGGCGGGCATATTTCCTGTGAAGTTGAAGTTGTAGCATTTGGTGATTGTGACTGAACAGCCTTGGGATAATTTGAAACCCCAATTTAAGCTAAGTGAAGCCTAATTTAAACTAAGCTCTCCAGAAAGTTGATTTTATATGTAATACATTCAACAATGTAAACACTGAAGTGTATACTTTGAATGGGTACATTTTATGGTATGCAAATTATATCTCATAAAGATATATATATATATTTTTATTTCTTTTGAGATGGAGTCTTGCACTGTCACCCAGGCTGGAGTGCAATGGCACGATCTCAGCTCACTGCAAGCTCCACCTCCCAGGTTCAAGCCATCCTCCTGCCTCAGTCTCTTGAGTAGCTGGGACTACAGGCCCATGCCACTATACCCAGCTAATTTTTTTGTATTTTTAGTAGAGACGGAGTTTCGCCATGTTGGCCAGCTGGTCTCAAACTTCTCACCTCAAGTGACCTGCCTACCTCAGCCTCCCAAAGTGCTGGGATTATAGGCATGAGCCACCACGCCCAGGCCAAAGATATTTTTTAAATAGAATATAGAGTTTTTAAGCCCAAGCTGTTTCTAAGTTATGGGTTTCTATGTGCAGTGACCATTTGGAAGAGCCCACCCTTTTGACCTGACATCTTCCAGGACTTGTCTTCTCCCTACCTTTCCACTCTGGACAACTGTTATCTGAAACCCTATCACGCGTGTCACTTCAGCCCGGTTCTGCTACAGCAGGAGTTAACTGGGGTTAAAGGAGGCGGGAGGAAGGCTAGACTTCCACTCTGGTTCCTTCATTATTGTACACTTCTAGCCTTCCAGCCAGTGTGTAGGACTATTCCCTGCTTGACAGCAGTGGGAAAGATGGATTCCAGGAGAACCTTGTTTTAGGTTCCATACCACTATTAATATTCTACTTAAAATTCTCTTATTTTATTTTATTTTTTTTATTTATTTTTAATTTTTTTATTTTTAAGACAGAGTCTCGCTCTGTCGCCCAGGTTGGAGTGCAGTGGTGTGATCTGGGCTCACTGCAAGCTCCCCTTCCTTCCTGGGTTCACGCCATTCTCTTGCCTCAGCCTCCCGAGTAGCCGGGACTACAGGCACCCGCCACCAATGCCCAGCTAATTTTTTGTGTTTTTAATAGAGACGGGGTTTCACTGTGTTAGCCAGGATGGTCTCCATCTCCTGACCTCATTATCCACCCGCCTCAGCCTCCCAAAGTGCTGGGATTACAGGCGTGAGCCACCGCGCCCAACCATGTTCTACTTAAAATTCTTTTATTCATTTATTTATTTTGGAGACGGAGTCTCACTCTGTCGCCCGCGCTGGAGTGCAGTGGCGCAACCTCCGCCTCCCGGGTTCAAGTGATTCTTCTGCCTCAGCCTCCCGAGTAGCTGGGATTACTGGTGTGCACCACTGCACCCAGCTAATTTTTGTATTTTTGGTGGAGACGGAGTTTCGCCATGTTGTCCAGGCTGGTCTGGAACTTATAACCTCAGGAGATCCACCTGCCCCAGCCTCCCAAAGTGCTGGGATTACAGGTGTGAGCCACTGTGCCCAGCCTAAAATTACTTTATTTAAACAGCTTTTTGTGAAGTAGGCTTTAGACCCAACTACCCTAAGTATAATCTTTTTCAAATAAGTGGAAGGTTTTAAACAGCCAACTTAAGTAGGCATTTCTCAATATCAAAAAAGTTGGAGTTCAGTTCATGGATTTTTCTTCTCTATCATTGAACCCAAACCCCTTACCTTGATGGGCACATCATATAAACCTGCATGAAATAATACAATATGTGTAGTATGTTGCACGTTTACTATGTGTCAAACATCCTTTTAAGCATTTTGCTCATATTAATACTGGATTCTCAACAACACTTTTAGTTAATATTACTAATTTTATTATAGTGTGTATAATATATATTAAAAAGTTTTTTAAACTTTTTATTTTAAAATAATTTTAGATTTACGGAGGAGTTGCCAAAGATAGAATTCTGTATACCTTTCACTCAGCTTCCTCTAATGTTAACATCTTACATAATCATGATTACATTCCTCAAAACTAAGAAATTAACGTAGATGTTAATACAGTCAACTAAACTGAAGACTTTATTCACATTTCACCAGTTTGTCCAGTAAGATCCTTCATCTGTTCCAGGATCTAATCTGGGGCACCACATTAAAACACACATTTTGTGACTTAGGACTTCTGGGGTCAAATTTTCCAGGCTCATTTACTCTTTTATAGCCATTTCATATATGCTGCTTGTGATTTTAAGCTTGAATTTGTTCACATATATACTATATAATTATATAATACTATATATACATAGTATTATACACACATATGTAATACTATAGATACACAGAGTATGTGTGTGTATATATACATATATGTGTGTATATATGCATACACGTATGTGTATATGTGTGTATATGTGTGTATGTGTATCTACATATACACACACACACATACTCTGTGTATCTATAGTATTATAATACTATTATTATCCCTACTTTTTTACATGTATAAAGGAAGGAATCCAGATATTGGGTAACTTGGTAACCAACTTTCCACAGTTAGCAATAGAAAGTCGGAGAGAGTTTGAACTCAGGCTGTTTCAAGATCCCTGCTTTTAATAGCTCATGATTATGACTAGAACACATTCAGTAAATATTTGCCTCCCTATCTAGGTGTGAGTATGTTCACCCTGAGAATGTGAACAAATTCAAGCTTAAAATCACAAGAAACATCTGTGAAATGGCTATAAAAGAGGAAATGACCCTGGAAAATTTGACCCTAGAAGTCCTAAGTCACAAAATATGTATTTTAATGTGGATTAGATCCTGGAACGGAAAAAGGACTTTACTGGACAAACTGGTGAAATATGAATAAAGTCTGCAGTTTAGTCGATGTTATTATCATCCACATTAATTTCTTAGTGTTGATGAATGTAATCATGATTATGTAAGATGTTAACATTAGAGGAAGCTGACTGAAAGGTATATAGGATTCTGTTCTATCTTTAGCAACTCCTCCACAAATTTAAAATTATTTTAAAATTAAAAGTTTTTAAAAATCCAGAATTAAGAAGAAAATCACCCATAAATTCTGTTTTGATATAAAACTGTCTCTGTTTAAAATCCTTCAAAGTATAAAGAATTTCAAAAACAATTAACATTTTAATCACACTGTAAACATTGTGCTTTCAGATATTTTTGAAGCTGATAGACTAGTTAGATGAAAATAGCTCACACTGAAATGTTTGCAATGGGTGTCTCAATCCTAGATTAAAATAAGTACTTTTTCTAACATATGTTAAGATGCTACTTTTAAGGAATTACTCCAGAAAAACTTAAGGAAATAATTTTTGCCCAGTTAGTAGCCGCAAGGATATAAACTGATTAATATTTTTATTAAATATTTCTGTAGTAGATTACATTTTTTTCTTTCTTTCATGAGAAATGTTTTATCAGAAAGGTGTGTCTAAAATGGATGTTTTCCTTGTTTATTTTCTGGGTGTGTTCGGAAGTAGACTGGTGCTTATCTTAACACTGCCCCTAATATCACCTTCTTCTGAAATAATTTGTTTTGGTGTGTTTGGTATATTTGAAAATATTTCCAAGAGCCACAGACTGGTGAAGATTCTTCCTTGAAGGGAGGGGGGAGTTGACTGGCTATAGATAGATAGATAGATAGATAGATAGATAGATAGATAGATAGATCTAACTTATAACTTCATTTTTATTCTCTCTTAACTCTGACCAAAACCTTTGCAGTGATTGATATAGTTTTGCCAAAATTGTTCACAGTGTCTGCTAGATAAACCATAATAATCTAGAGCTATTCAATAGCAGACAAGTCTTTGCTAAAAAATAATCTAGAACTGGAGAATTATTAAGGTCAGGGATTAGTATAACAAGAGCACTGTTCTGATTTTCCCCAAAACTATGACGTGCTTTAGTTCAGAAAACCAAGCCTTGGCTAGGAACGGTGGCTCAGGCCTGTAATCCCAGCTCTTTGGGAGGCTGAGGCCGGGGGACTCCTTGAGCTTATGAGTTTGAGATAGCCTGGTCAATATAGTGAGACCCTGTCTCTCCAAGGAAAAAAAAAAAAAAAAAAAAAAGATGAAAAAAGAAAGCCAAGCCTTAATCATGTCCGCCAATAAGCATCATTTGCTCTTCGCTGTCTGCTGAAAGGAAATAGAGAGGGCAGTTTAGCCAATGTCTAAGTGCTTTATCCACAGATAAAGTTCCCAAAACTAAAGAGGAAAGAAATAAATTCCCTGTTTGTAGTATGTGCAGATCAAATCAATGCAGATCACCTTTTGTAGTGACGCAGCAAGTGCTTGTCAAACTGTGGTTTTCAGAGCCCTTGGGTTCTGCAGTCCTATCTCAGAGTATCAGGAAGGGAGAAAAACAGGTGGAAGGCAGCTTCATTGGCAAAAAATACTAATTTGGGGTTTTGGGGAAGATTTTGTTCCAAATGGGAAAGTGGGTTCTGACAAGCCCTTGGGGCATATTCGTTTGAGGGGCTCTTCTCCGTTTACTCCAGTTTTCTGAGATTCCCAAGAAAGTCCCCCTGCTACAGGCGAGCACAGTGAACTCCTCCTTTTGTTCTTTTCGCAGGATGATTTACTGTCTTTGAAGGTTGTGAGTGTGCTACACCACCTCAGTATCAAAAGGGCCATCCAGGTCCTGAGGATCAATAACTTTGAACCAAACTGTCTACGGAGGCGGCCATCTGATGAGGTAGCATTTTAAGATTGAGGTTTATAAGCATGCACTTCCCAGGCATGGGACTGTCCATATGTCAAAACTAAGAGCCATTTTTCTTGGAGCTTGCAGGAAAAGTCTTAAAATTCAGCCTCATTTACTTCTTAGGCTTTTTCTGTATTCCTTCCTTTTCTCTCCATGATGGTTCCACTCGTATAACTAAAGGTAAGGGTTCATTTTCAGTTATGCTTCTTCCTTTTCTTGGGTGTATTTTTTTTCCTGATTCCCTAATCCGCAGAGATAAATATCACTATAAAGACTTCCTTTTCTGGCCAAATGTAGTGGCTCATGCCTATAATCCCAGCACTTTGGGAGGCCAAGTCAGATGGATCACTTGAGCCCAGTAGATCAAGACCAGCCTGGGCAATATAGGTAGACCCTGTCTCTACAAAAATAATAGTAATAAAAAATTAGCCAGGCATGGTGGGTGCACGCTGGTGGTCCCAGCTACTCAGGAGGCTAAGGTCAGAGGATCTGCCCGAGCCTGGGAGATGGAGGCTGCAGTGAGCCCTGATTACACCACTACAACTCCAGCCTGGGTAAGAGAGTTAGACCCTGTCTTAAAAAAAAAAAAAAACACTTTCTTTTCTAAACCAATGCTTTAGTATGTAAGAAAACTTGAAACACAAACTATGACAGAAATTCTTTAAAAGAGAATTTTTCCCTTTCTTTATGCATTTAGTGGGATGTTGAGTAACTGTACTCCATGGAGCAGACTGTTTAGACAGAAAATGCAATTTAATACTTAGGATCTTGGTTGTGTGTTCCCATAGAATACCATCGCCCCCTCAGAAGTTCAGAAGTGGACTAACCATCGAGTGATGGAGTGGCTGCGCTCCGTGGACTTGGCAGAATATGCCCCCAATCTCAGAGGCAGCGGTGTCCATGGTGGGCTCATGGTAAAGCTCTGATTTAATTTCAAACTGACTTACTTTGTTTCCTTTAGTCTAGTGAGTAGGATAGTATCAATTTTTGCTTATCATAATCCTAAAGTCATCTGACGCAACCCTCCTGCCCTATTTCTAGTAAATCTTTACTTTCAGAGTATTTGTATTGATATCTTATAACTCTGGATTGAATTTAAAGCCGGTTCTCTTTTATTGTCCTCTTTCATGTCAAATAACATGTAGCTTCTTCCTCTCATATGATCATGTTTGAAAACCCCTGCAAGGATGCAGATTGTATTTCTGCACATTGATATTGCATAAGGAGTTGGCTGCCACGGACAGCACCCCAGAGAGGTAGAGGACTGATACTGGGATGCCTGAATCCTGGATTTCAGGACCAGCTCTATCACTCACTAGCTTGGGCAAAATGGAGAAAAGATATGTAAATTAAAGATCAAAGTCCATATGGTGTCTACCTCACCAGGCTGTTGAGAGGATCGTTGGAGATAACCTAAGAGAAAGAGCTTTGCAAATTATGAAGCACAATACAAACATGTATGATTTGTGGTGACTTTTGACAAGCTTATTTTTTTTAACAGGTTCTAGAGCCTCGTTTTAATGTAGAAACAATGGCTCAGTTGTTGAACATCCCACCCAATAAGACTTTGCTGCGAAGACATTTGGCCACTCATTTCAACCTTCTGATTGGGGCTGAGGCACAGCACCAGAAGCGAGATGCCATGGAGCTGCCGGATTATGTACTTCTAACAGCTACTGCCAAAGTGAAGGTTGGTTCAGGCTCATACAGTTTAATAATTGCTTGGCGCAAAGGCAACATTTTGTCTGTTACCTGGTTATTCTGTTTTCTGGGGTTTGCTAAGTTTTGTGGAGGGGTTCCTTACCAGCAGATGCAGGAATCCTCAGCGCTTAGTTGTCTTGGGAGAAAGATGTTGGCCAAGAGACAGTTCACAGATAGCAGAGAGCTTTATTGAAGGGAAATAGGGAGCAAAGAGCTTATTGTAAGAAAAAAAAAAAAAAATACAGGGGCTGATCCTGCAGGAAAACAACAGGGTCGCAGTAGCAATGTTTATGTAAAGGGACAGTACACTCCAAACACCGAGGCACAGCGGGCTGCTGAAAGAGAAAGAGGCCAGGAGTTCTGCGTCGGGTTTTTATGATGTCCAGTTTTTTCTTGAAGCTCTCGCCTCTGTGTTAAGTCCCTGCCTTTTTTATCTCGTTTTCCTGCTCCTGCCTTAAGTCCTTGCCTTTTCCCTGCCTAGTTCCCATCCTAGGCTTGTGGGACCCTCCCTTACTATAGTTGGTGCACATGCGTGGGCTGGATGTTGGCTGCAATTCTACCTAAAGGCTGCATTGCTCATTCCCGCCGCCCCCAGGAAGGTTGTATAACAGTCAAATCTATACGTACTGTGCCTGCATTTCTCTTAGGCATTCTCCTTTGCCCTCTTGCCCTCTTTATCAGCATGCAGCTAGCTAAATTATGGCAGGTGAACTGCAGAGTGAGTGATTACTGAGCATCTTAAGGGATATTCCTTTCTCCATAGGTATTTCTCCTCCTCTCTGCTCATATGGAGCATGTATGTTTTGGGTGGTTTCTGGGGTGTGAGATTTTCCGGACCTCTCTTTTCTCAGCGGCTTCCCCTCATGTCTAGCTATCTGCCTACTCTAACAAATTGAAGAAACAGTTGACCCTTGAAGAACATGAGTTTGAATTGCACAGGTCCACTCCTACTCAGATTTTTTTTTTTTTCCAAGCAAATGTGGAGGGATGCAAAACCCACATCTAGGGAGGCCCGACTTTTTAGGTACACGGGTATGCTGGACTTGATTATGTACGGATTTTGGTATACATGGGGGTCTTGGAACTAATGCTCTGTGTATACTGAGGGACAACTGAGTATATACCTTTTAAAAGTATAATAATTAAGAGAAGGCACCCAGATAGCTCAGGCAGTAGAGCATCAGACTTTTAATCTGAGGGTCCAAGGTTCATGTCCCTTTTTGAGTGTTCCCTCTTAGGTGAGCATGGTGGCTCATGCCTGTAATCCCAGTGCATTGGGAAGCCAAGGTAGGAGGAACATGTGAGTCCAATAGTTCAAGGCTGCAATGAGCTATGATTGAGCTATGAGCATGCCACTGCACTCCAGCCTGGGCAACAGAGCAAGATTCTGTCTCTAAAAAAATGATAATGAACGCATCATATTGGCTTCCACAATCCATGTATTGGCAGTGCAGAGAGTCCATAACTTGGGTCCAAATATTGATTGCAGTTGTTCTGTTTTTATAAATCAAGTGTAGAATAGAGATTTCTCTTGTACAGATTTAGCTTCTCTGGCTTATGATTGACCAGCCTTGTAAATAGGAAAAGATACTTTAAAAATGATTGAAGGTAGGCCAGAAGAGAATGGATATTTCCTAATTTACCTGGATTTATGGGTCATACCAAATTTAGATTACTTTTTCTTCTTTAAAATTAATCCTAGATTAACTCTTCTAAATATGTTATCTCAACCAACTTGTTGGGTTATGAGGTCCTCCAGAAATTTGCGCCAAAGTTCTTTTTAATTTTTTTTTTTACCCCCTCTATCTGCCTGAGTATCCAATGACCAAGATGGAGTTTCTCTTCTAAGTATCACTGAAGTTTCCTCTCCAGAAAATTCTTTTAGCAGTCACCAGTCCTGTTATGGAAGCAAAATAGGCATACAAGATAATTATAGCCTCACCCAAAGAAAAAATATAGTGAGGTCTATCCTATTTTGCTAACCTTAGATTGAAAAACCTTGCAAAATTGGATTCAGCCATGAGAAATCTCATTGCATTAAGTCCTGTCTAATCAAAACTATGAAGCCAGGTGCAGTGGCTTGTGCCTGTAGTTCCAGCTACTCTGGAGGCTGAGGCAGGAGGATCCCTTAAGCCCAGGAATTTGAGGCCAGCCTGGGCAACATAGCAAGATTCTGTCTCTAAAAATAATCGTAGTGATGTAATCAAATTATTCTTGCCATATTTTGTTTATCACAGTGACTATTCAGGTAGTTGGCGTGAATAAGAGGAATAAGATTAATTTTCTGAGATTCATAACAAGGGTCATTTATCATTGCATCATTTATATGTCTGGGATGCCCTTTCATTTTTATCCAAATTTAAACATCCAGTTAATTTTCTCTCTACCATGGGGTAAATAATTAAATTACACATGTAGAAGGGAGGGGGTAATGCAAAAATAATTACATGTTATCAGTCCTTGATTGTACAAATTTTATCAAATCATTTGGATGTTTTTGTTTGCTTTTCTTTTAAAGCCAAAGAAGCTTGCCTTTAGCAATTTTGGGAATTTGAGAAAGAAGAAACAGGAAGATGGTGAAGAATATGTTTGTCCAATGGAATTGGGACAGGTATCAGGAAGTGCATCTAAGAAAGGATTTAAACCTGGTTTGGATATGCGCCTGTATGAGGAAGATGATTTGGACCGATTAGAGCAGGTAAATCCATTATATACCTTTTTTCAAGTGTTTCCATCATTCAGACACTAAATGGGAGCTTTGTATACTGTGTCTGATCGAGGACATCTTCTTCCAATAACTAAAAATACAGATAATAATAAAATAGTAGTGAACACTTAGAGATCGCTTATATGTTCCAGGCACCATCCTAAGCACTTAATGTATACTATGTTTGTGGTAACCTTGAGACATGGAGACCATTGTTATTCTCATTTTGAAGATAAGGAAACTGAGGCACAGAGAGCTAAGTAACTTGCCCAAGGTCCCCAACCTGTCTCTTTGGCTCCAAAGCTTATGATATTTACCTATATTATGCCATCTCTGTATTAAAACATGTTAGGAATGGACAGGTTATTCTACCTAGCCTTTTCAGATTAAAGTCATGGGACTGCATATTTCCCTTCTAATCAACAATGCTTTGGTACTGTTAGCAAAGGCATTAGACTAGCTGTGTCAGTAAAGTGTCTCTTCTAATTTTTCACTTCCGATTGCAGTGGTGAAAGGAGATTATCACCAGAAGTGTTCTGTTGTTCCTACCCCATTCAGTGCTATTTGCATTATTTCCTCTTAGACTTCTGTTCCTCTCGCTGCACTTTCCCTGACATTGTGAAAGCACCTATGTCATGTTATGGTTTGTTCTTTGCAGATGGAAGATTCAGAAGGGACAGTGAGACAGATAGGTGCATTCTCTGAAGGCATCAACAATCTGACAGTGAGTTTGTGAAATGAATTGAAAATGTTATTCTATAAATGTCTTTTAACAACCCCAGAGGACCACATGTCTCTTGGAGAATGTGTAGTTCTGAGCTCTTGGCTCTCAGTGTGACTCCCTGTCTCCTTGTTTTCCAGCACATGTTAAAAGAAGATGACATGTTTAAAGATTTTGCTGCCCGTTCCCCCAGTGCCAGCATTACAGATGAAGACTCAAACGTTTGACCGTAGCACCTGGAGGAACATTAGGAATGCTTAGTCTTTTTTCTACTTTCTTTTCCAAACACTCACAGTATATACAACAGGCAGCGGATTGTCTATTGTTTGTTGTTCCAACTTCTGCTGTTGAGAAGTTTAAACAGGAAGCAGGAGTAATGTGCCGATTCCGAAGTGGCCACAGAAAAATAAGACACTGGTGAATGAGAGTATAATTGTTTTTCTTCTATTTAATGTAAAAATCTGTGATATATTATATTTAAAGTGTTGCATTTAAGATGAGTATTTTACCAGAGTGTTTCCGTTCACATCCGCAGTATGGAGGATTTGGGGAACAGTAACCAGGATGTGAATGATTTTGTCACATCAGTGTTCACTGGAGCCACCTAAGTAGGACATTATGTGATTTCAGAATCCATATGTGGAACTTCTTTAAGCATTCAGTGTGCCCACTAAATGCCAGCCACACCTCCACTTGCCTCTTACTGTCTTATTTTTATATATTTTTCTAAATATATGTATATATACAGTACATAGAAAATAGAACATTTATTTTGTGACCTAAGGACGATGGTGAAAAGATCACGTTTTCTAAACAATCTGGTGATCAGAACGTTCATATACCAGCTGGTTTCTGAAGAAGTCAGAATGATCTTTCTCCATACTGACTTTTAACAATGTTGATCATTGAGGCTAAATTAATATATATGAAATATTCCTTTTTGATGATACCACAAAATTGTTGAACAGTTTAAAAATTTCAACCTTAATCTTGGATCCCTTTACCTCATATGGAAGAACTTGAGGGACATTAGTATACTTTTTTTTTTTTTAAGATGGAGTCTCGCTCTGTCACCTAGGTTAGAGTGCTGTGGCATGATCTCCCCTCACTGCAACCTCTGCCTCCTGGGTTCAAGCCATTCTTTTGCTTCAGCCTCCCAAGTAGGTGGGACTACAGGCACACGCCACCATGCCTGGCTAATTTTTGTATTTTTAGTAGAGACGGGGTTTCACCATATTGGCCAGGCTGGTCTGGAACTCCTGACCTTGTGATCCGCCCGTCTCAGCCTCCCAAAGTACTGGGATTACAGGCGTGAGCCACCATGCCTGGCCTTTTTTTTTTTTTTTTTTAAGTGACAGAGTCTCACTCTGTCACCCATGCTGGAGTGCAGTGACGTGATCATAGCTCACTGCAGCCTTGAATTCCTAGGCTCCAGTGATCCTCTCACCTCAGCCTCCCCAATAGCTAGGATTACAGGTGTGTGGCCTCCCACCCCACCCCACCCTTCACACCTGGCTGATTTTTCAAAAATTTTTTGTAGAAACAGAATCTCACCATGTTGCCCAGCCTGGCCTCAAACTCCTGTCCTCAAGTGATCCTCCCGCCTCAGCCTTTCAAAGTGCTGGGATTACAGGTGTGAGCCACTGTGCCTGGCTTGAATACACTAACTTGAATACATTCAGAATCACCTCCTCTCCCCAAAATGCGTAGAAATAGTTTTTGAGGAAACCAAAAGCAAAGCAGAAACCTTTACAGTATTGTTTCTTTTCTCTTTGTTAACTATGTCATTGCATCAAAATACTAACAGTCTGCCTAAACATGTTCATTGTACATTTCTCAGGCTATCAATGAATGGAGCTTTTTAAAAAGTTGAATATTTGTCTGAACATTTTATTTCAAAGTTCAAAAAAACAGAGGCTGCAAAATTCATTTTATAATGGCTATTTTGTGATGATAAGATGTAGTTCACGTTTTTCTGTAGCACTGGGCCCAAATATTCTTTGTAAAGAAAATCACTGCAGCAAAAATTGTTACTGTGTTTATTATGTTTGTAGAAGTATTAGAAAAATATTCTATTTTTTATTCAGTGCTACATAATTACCCATGGTAGCCAACCCTACAAAAGACAGGTTTTCACAAACTGAGGTGGAGGTGGGCAGTTCAGTATCTGCCATTGGACTTGATTATAAACTGTATTTGAATATCAGTGGTGTTATCTTTTAAGTTGTCAGCAAGTTACCAAGTATTCATTAAAGAAATTGTGATATCAAATTACTGTTTATTCATAACAATTGATTTGATGCTAATAATAATTTTCTTTAAACTCTACCATTCATTATGTGGTAACTGTATTGGACTTACTTTATTTGGATTTTATTTTAATGTGACTAGATGTCACCACTTGAAAAAATCCATTTGTTCTTAGAACCTGGTTGAAAACACCAGGAGACTGTTACAGATGTCAAATTTTTTTTTTTTTTTTGAGACGGAGTCTCTCTCTGTCGCCCAGGCTGGAGTGCAGTGGCGCGATCTTGGCTCACTGCAAGCTCTGACTCCTGGGTTCACGCCATTCTGCCACCTCAGCTTCCCAAGTAGCTGGGACTACAAGTGTCTGCCACCATGCCTGGCTAATTTTGTTTTCGTATTTTTAGTAGAGACGGGGTTTCACCGTGTTAGCCAGGAAGGTCTCAATCTCCTGACATCGTGATCCGCCCACCTCGGTCTCCCAAAGTGCTGGGATTACAGGCGTGAGCCACCGTGCCCGGCCCAAGTATTTTTTATTCAGGACGGCATAACCTAACTGATAATATGTAATAAAGTTAAATTTTTTTATGATGTGTTTTATTTACAAAATATACACTGCTGGTGTTACCACATGAAAGGAAATAAAGTCAATTGATAATTGCTTCATTTTTATTGCCCTTATTTCATTTTCCATTGTTCATAGTAACAGGCTTTGTTTCTGATATAGAAAATAACACAATCTCTTTATAAACTGCCATAAATTTGTTTGAATGGAGTTTATAACGTGTATCAACAGATAGGAATTTGAGGCCTTTGTTTGAGAAGATTTTGTAGGAAAAGAAGCAACTGAGCTGGGGAATGAAGAATATGGCAGAAGTGAAAGAAACAAACAAACAGAAAATAGGAAAAGCAAATGGAAATGACTCACCTACAGACTGGAAGAAGTTAGTTGTAGAAAGAGGTGTATGGATATTTAAAAAACTAACATAGGACTGGGTGCAGTGGTTCATGCCTATAATCCCAGCACTTTGAGAGGCCAACACAGGAGGATTGCATGAGCCTAGGAGATTGAGACCAGCCTGGGCAACATGGTGAAACCCCACCTCTACAAAATATACACAAAAATTAGCCAGGTGTGGTGGTATACACTTGTAGCCCCAGCTGGGGTGAGAAGATCACCTGAGCCCAGGGAGGTTGAAGCTGCAGTGAGCCATGATTGCGCCACTGCACTTCAGCCTGGGTAGCAGAGTGAGACCCTGTCTCAAAGAACGACAACAAAAAGAACTAATGTGCCATTTTTACTTTTACTAAAACTTGGAAAGAGGAAACATATGTTGGAAGAGATTACCAAAGGTTAAAAGTAGAGTGAATATAACCTAGATGGAACAGACGTTTTGTGTGAAATTTAGTATCTTTAATAAGACAGCAGGAACTGAATGAATACAACACACCCAACTGACAAACAGAGAGAACATGTTTATTTAGCTGTATGTATATACGCTTAACTACACCCAAGGGAGCTGTAGAGTTAGAAAAACATGAACCATTAACAGATGTGACCTCCTTGCAGAACTTTTACTTTGAAAAAGAAGTACTCCGGAACCAGATTCACATGTGTGATATTTGGATGCAGAGAAAATGGGGCAGAAAGCATCGCAACAGTTGGCTCTGAAGGACAGCAAAGAGGTGCCCATCGTCTGTGAGGTGGTCAGTGAAGCTATAGTCCATGCAGCTCAGAAACTGAAGGAGTACCTTGGATTTCAATATCCTCTGAGTCAACTCTGCCCAGCTGCAAATACTCTGAATGAGATCTTCTTAATCCATTTCATCACTTTCTGCCAGGAAAAGGGAGTTGATGAGTTGCTGACCACCACCAAGATGACCAAGCACCAAGCCTTCCTGTTTGGCGCAGACTGGGTTTGGACCTTTTGGGGATCCGACAAGCAAATAAAGCTTCAGCTGGCAGTACAGACTCTGCAGATGTCTTCACCTCCTCCTATGGAATCTAAACCTTACGACCTTTCCAATCCAGAACCAAGGGTAGAGAAGTCTTCCTGGAAGAAAAGCAGATTTGATAAGCTGGAAGAATTCTGTAACTTAATAGGAGAGGATTGCCTGGGTCTGTTTATCATCTTTGGTATGCCAGGAAAGCCTAAAGACATCAGGGGAGTTGTCCTGGACAGTGTCAAAAGTCAGATGGTGAGGAGCCATCTGCCAGGAGGGAAGGCTGTGGCTCAGTTTGTCCTGGAGACTGAAGATTGTGTCTTCATCAAAGAGCTGCTCAGAAACTGTCTGAGTAAGAAAGACGGGCTGAGAGAGGTGGGCAAGGTTTATATTAGCATTCTCTGATTTGGATATGTATTATGTGACTGGCCTGTAAGAGGAAAAGAAAAAAGATTCTAATAAGCAAGCTCATCTATTTGCATCATTCCAGCATGGGATTTTTTTTTCATTTGTTTTCCCATTGATTGAAAATGATTACTGGGATCAAAGTATATTAATGCCACAATTACAGAGGGAGAGAGAAAAAAAGAAAACTCTGGCTCTGCCTATGATTTAAAAACAGTTCAGGAAAAATTATAATTTAGTTTAATATTTCATTCACTTATTCAATAATAAAAATGGGAAGAGAGATAATAAAGTCACATTTAAAGTTTGATTTGCAAAAAAAAAAGTGTCTTTGTTTGAAATAATAAGTCTAGCACTCAAAAGTATAAAATGTGTTTTTGCATCTGTTGGTGGGAAATGGGTAGGGTAAAGTAGTGGGTAAGGCTACAGAGCAGGTTTAATTACATTTGTAACATCAGTTTCAAGCCATGCACAGTGGCTTACGCTTGTGGTCTTAGCTACTCAGGAGGCTGAGGCAGGAGGATCGCTTGAGCCCAGGAGTTTAAGGCTATAGGGAGCTGTGATTGCACCACTGCACTCCAGCCTGGGCAACGAGTGAATCCTCATCTTTTAAAAAAAAAAAAAAGGTTTGGTTCAGGACTCCTGAGCAAAACTCACATTGTTCTTTTCCTCTTAACATTTACCTTATTCTGCCTTCTCCCTAGCTGCTGTCCACACTGAGAGGACTTTGATGGGATTTGAGATTCACTTTAGTGTTAGCTCTGCCTATGATTTTAAAACAGTGACCTATAAAACTATTCCTTTTAATAATACTTGTTTAGCCTTTGCAGTAAGGAAAATGTATTCACATATAATAATCATTTTTGCTTAAAAGCCACTGTGGAATTATAACAGTACAAAGAGGAATCACCATTATTTATTGTACTTGCAAGTCAAGTCAGATGCTTTACATATATTAGCGTGATTTTCATGTGTCCTCCATGACTCTAAGAGGTTTCTATTTGCCAAATCAAAGAGGCTAGATAACGCATAAATCTATTAAGTGGCTCGTAACAAAAAAGTAAAGTCTGCCCAGTTACAAAACCCATATTCTACCGTCATGTAAAGAAAATTCCCTGTAAGCCTATAAATTATGTTAAGTAAAAATCAATTAAAAAAAAAGAAGAAGAAGAAAAGAAAATTAGTTAGCCAGGAAGGGTAGCTGTGATTCCAACACTTTGGGAGTCTGAGGCAGGAGGATTGCTTGAGCCCAGGAATACAAGACCAGCCTAGGCAACATGGTGAAACCCCATCTCTACAAAAAATAGAAAAAGTAATGGTGATGTGTCCCTGTAGTCCCAGCTACTTCGGAGGCTGAGGTAGAGAGATTGCTTGGGTCCAGGAGGTCAAGGCTGCAGTGAGTCGTGATAGCGCCACTGCACTCCAGCCTAGGCAGCAGAGCGAGACTCCATCTCAAATACATAAAAAGAAAATTCTCTCATTTTAAACTACTGGAATTGCTGAAACCACAAAGATGTTCACCTGCAAAGATGCTAGGTGGTGGTTGTTGCTCATTTTTCTTCCATCTCCTGGCCTTAATCTGTGGCTACTTTTCCTGTTGTTGAACAACCTGTTTACTGATATGCAGCCATTAAAAACGTGGGCTGAAGCCTTTCACCTGCATCCAACCTCTTAAAACCGTTTCTGTTTCTGACAGTCTTCTTATGTCCTTGGCCCCTTCTGTGTTTTGGAATTTAGGGCATGTTCCTGTGAGGCTAAATTAAGACATCTGAGCGCAATGTGGTGTCATGCAAGTATTCCAAAGTAAGAAATACGTTTGTTGCTGTGATCTGTATAACTGAAGCACGTTGCAGTGCACTCTGATAGTTTGTCCGACATCAGTTTGTAAAATGCTGACTGCAAGCCACCAAACTAATATCATGACCATCAATAGGTCACAATGCAGACTTGTAAAAACTTTGTCACGGTAGGAGTGAGAGCTTTCGAGTTTAGTTGAGGACAAACCTGCTTAAAATCCCAGCTCTTTTGTTTATGCTTATCCAACCAAACCTCTGTGCTGGTTATTCTCAGTTCAACCTCCACATCTACTCCCCACCCTGTCTGCCTTCTGGGTTCTGACTGCATCACTCTGGCTTCCATCCCGTGGAGGGCACGAGATCAGAAAGGGGACAGGTCTGGAAGGTATTAGCCCCACTCTCCCTGCCTCACTATGACGCTTTGTTCCAGACAGCTCCTGTCCAGCTGGCCCTTCTCTGAGACTCCAGCTCCCTCCCCTTCCCCTCTCAGGCCATTGTCTTCCAGGTTGCTTCATCATTCTTGGTTAGTTCCTTGCACCCTGCCCCCACCCTGTAAATGTCCTTTTCCCTCAGGTGAACTTGAGGGTGCCATTCGATTTCTTCTGGAGCCCTAATACCTCCTGATTTTCCCATCTAAAACCTGGAGATGACAATACCTACCTCGTAGAACTGCTATTCGTTACAAAATTAAGAATAATCGGCCAGGACTGGTGGCTCACACCTGTAATCCCAACACTCTGGGAGGCCGAGGTAGGTGGATCACAAGGTCAGGATTTTAAGACCAACCTGACCAACATGGTGAAACCCCGTCTCCACTAAAAATACAAAAATTACCCAGGCATGGTGGCGCATGCCTGTAGTCCCAGCTACTCGGGAGGCTGAGGCAGGAGAATCGCTTGAACCTGGGAAGCGAAGGTTGGAGTGAGCTGAGATGGCACCACTGCACTCCAGCCTGGGTGACAAAGAGTCTCCGTCTCAAAAACACTTAAAAAATAATTTTAAAACAATGCTTAGTACAATAATCCAAATCCACTCTTTGATTCTTTATCCAGCTCAGTAAACAGGATCCACAGCGAATATAAAGGTGCATCATTAACTTCAATCTAGATGTAGGTTTAAGAGCATGCTCCTGTTTTCTTTCCATTGAGCCTGGTCTTCTTCAAATCAAAATAAGCCTTGCAACATTGGGGAACATCAACCCCCAATCCCTTCTCTTCAAATTTATCTCCCAAAGAAGTCCTGGGGGAAAGCGAGGAAGGGAGCATTCCTAATCCCCATGATGCCTGCAGCTTCAGGAAAGAAGAAAATGATGTATATTCTCTTCGGCCTCAAGAAATGGCTTTGTTTTCCCTCCTATCAATGTTTATTCACCCCCATAGCCCTCTCCTTGAGGAACCTGGAATAGGAAGAACGTATCTGCGGCCTTGTAGTTGACCTTCATTAGAAATTGGCATGAAAAAGTGTTAAATAAAATGGAGTATTGATATACACAATTACTTGTCAATGAAAACTGATTTTTTTTTAAAGAAGGTGAGTACTGGCAGAGACGTCTGTTTCCTCTTTTTGGTAGTGAGGTCTCCAGTAGCATAGAGTCAAGCTTAGTTTTTGCAATTTGGGTTAATATACTGCAAAAAAAAAGAAGACTTAAAAGTATAAATGGAAGATAGATTCATTCAAACATAATTGCTGAGTGCCTGTTATATGTAGGGCTTGTTCTGTGCCCTGCCAATCCAGCAGTACAAAGAACAAAGTTCCTAGTCTCGGGGAGTTTCTATCTTAATGGTGGAAGACAGACAAACACGTGCAGATGTTTAAATGCATATTTTCAAAACATCTCACGCCTGTAGTAATCCCAGCACTCTGGAAGGCTGAGGCTGGCAGATCACTTGAGTTCAGGAATTTGGAACCAGCCTGAGCAACATGATGAAACCCTGTCTCTACTAAAAATACAAAAATCAGCCCGGCGTGGGGGTGTGTGCCTGTACTTGAGAGGCTGAGCTGGGAAGATCGCTTGAGCCCAGAAGGAGGAGGTTACAGTGAGCCCAGGTCCAGCCACTGCACTCCAGCCCAGGCAACAGAGTGAGACCCTGTCTCAAATATTAATAATCAATTTTAAATAACATCAGGAGTAATGTAAGGAAAAAGCATGATCAGGGAATAAAGAGTGTTAGGAGGTGCTATTTTATATTAGGTGGTGAAGGAAGGCCTCAGTGAGGAGGGGGCAATTAGCTAGAGATCTGAAGGAAGACACTGAGCATCAGAGCAGACATTTGGGAAAGAGCGTTCTAGGCACAAAGAACTGCAAATACAAAGGACCTGGAATGGGAGTGGATGTGAATGTGGATAGCAAAGGAAGCTGACGTGGACAGAGCAGAGTGAGCTGGAGGCGAGAGGTGGGAGATGAGTTTGCAGAAGTAGCCAGCAAACTGATCAAGCTCTTCAAACTTGTAAGGTGAAGTAAGGACTCAACTATTCTGAGTGATAGGGGAGAGAAATGTCTTGACTGACCTGTACCTTAAAAGCCTCACCTGAAGCCAGGCATGGTCACTCACACCTGTAATTCCAGCACTTTGGAAGCCCAAGGTGGGTGAATCACTTGAGGCCAGGAATTCGAGACCAGCCTGACCAACATGGTGAAACCCCGTCTCTACTAAAAACACAAAAACTAGTCTGGCGTGGTGGCACATGCTTGTAATTTCAGCTACTCTGGAGACTGAGGCAGGAGAATCAATTGAATCCAGGAGGCAGAGGCTACAGTGAGCCGACATAGTGCCGCTGCACTCCAGCCTGGGTTACAGAGCAAGACTCTGTCTCAAATAAACAAACAAATAAACCCTCACTTGATTACTGGGGGGAAACTTGATGGTAGAAGATAAAGAGGAGAAGCAGAACCCAGGTAAGCAGCTAGGAAGCCACAGTCATCCAGATAAGAGAAAAAGATGGCCTGGACCACACTCATACAGGAGGAGGTGTGAAGAGGTCAGATTTAGAATGTAGCTGAAGGTAAAGTGTGCAGCATTTGCTGATGATTGGATGTGGAGTTTGAAACATGTAACCATTAGTTGCTATATTTCCAAATGTCTTGAATAATAAGAATATATGCAAGGACAGAAATAAATTTGTCTTTGACTTTCCTTTATCCCAAGAAATCAAAAGATGGAGAAAAGCATTTTAGAGAAACAGTGCCAGGGTACATGATTGACAGATGGGCACTGCATGACTGGGTGGCCTCACTGAGGAAAAAGTAGCTAAACATGGGCAAAGGAGATCCCAGAGGCAAAAATGTCATTATACGCATTCTTTATGCACACTTGTCAGAAGGAGCACAAGACACAGCACCCAGATGCTTCTGTCCTCTTCTCAGAGTGGTCTAAAAAGTGCCAGAGAGGTAGAGGACCGTGTCTGCTAAAGAGGAAAATTTGAAGACGTGGCAAACTCGGGCAAAAGATCCATTATGAAAGAGAAATGAAAACCTATATCCCTCCAGAAAGGGAGGCAAAAAAAAAAAAAAAAGCCCAAGAGGCCTCCTTTGGCTTTTTTCTTGTGTTCTGAGTATTGCCCCCGAATCAAAGGAATATATCCCGGCCTATCCATTGGTGATGTTGCAAAGAAACTGGGAGAGAGGGGGAATGACACTGTTACAGATGACAAGCAGCCTTATGAAAAGCGGGCTGTGAAGCTGAAGGAAAAATATGAAAAGGATATTGCAGCAGACTGAGCTAAAGGAAAGCTTCATGCAGCAACAAAGGGAATTGCCAAGGCTGGAAAAAAAAAAAAAAAAAAAAAAGAAGAGGATGAGGAAGAGGAGGAAGAAGAAAATGATGATAAACAAGTTGGTTGTAGCGTTTTTTTTCTTGTCCATAAAGCATTTAACAAACCCTGTATACAACTCACTCCTTTTAAGGAAAAAAAAATTGAAATGTAAGGCTGTGTAAGATTTGTTTGTAAACATTACAGTGGTTTTTTTTTTTGTACAATTAATAGACTACTGAATGTCTCTTTAGATAGCCCTGTCCTGGTGATATTTTTAATAGACACTAACCTTGCCTGGTACAGAACGGGGGTTGTAATTGGCATGGAAATTTAAAGCAGGTTCTTGTTGGGGCACAGCACAGATTAGTTATATATGAGGATAGTTTTTTCATCTTCATTTGTCTCTACTGCGGCTTATTAATTGTTGTTCTGCTAACTGAATACTACTCTGTAATTGAAAAAAAAAAAAAGTTGCAGCTGTTTTGTTGATATTCTGAATACTTCTAAGCAAATACAATTTTTTTAATTGAAAAAAACATTTTAGCCCTTTGCCTTCAGTAAACTGGGCATGAATAGGCCCAGGTGGCATCTTTTAAAGTGTTAAGCAGTAACTGTTCCCATGTTCAATGCTTCTGGGAGGTTACAGTACTCAATTAATGTTTCCTTGGTGTATAGCGACCCCTGTCTGCAGGAATGCTGTGTGGAGTACACTCTCAAGAAGGA